CCCACACCCTCTCTTCTCAGTGTGACACTGCAGACACCCCTCCTTGATTTCACATCCACACCCAGCCCTCCTCATCGCTGCCATTGATCACCTCCATGCTCTCACTCAAACTGACACCCAAGGCAGGTCAAGGGGCCGGCCAGCTGCTCACAGTGTTTCACTGACACAATCCTCCAGCAGACATTTTAGCTCTCCACACACACAATAAAACAACGTCCATGGATGGAGGGGTAAACAGGAATACAGTAATCATTTCTTAATTAATGGCTTTGATAAAACGCTTCCATATAAGTCGCACAATCATTGATGCTTTCTTTAAAAGGGATTCTTCTCCTACACAAATGTCAGTGGTGCTGTTTTTTTGTGTGTATATGTGTGATGTAATCCATCACTATATCTGTATCTGTTTGTTATGTTCTTGATACTACCTCAAATGCAGAATAAAAGCCGACACGTGCACACAAATGATCCTCCTTTAAAAGGACTGCTGTTCGTATATATCCAGCTGCCGTCCACTCACACCTCAGCCCCAGCTGCAATGCAGGACATCACGCATCATGAAATTCAAATGAACTCACGTGTGACCACTGAGTTTCATCTGACTTTTTTTATTTTATTTTTTTTACGTGGTTCGCCCCTTGCATGGCTTTGGGGATCAGCTTTTGCAACGACTCTCCATCCTTAACTCGCCCACGGCTGTTTGTCTGTCTGAGGACAGCCGGAAATAAATATCCTCTGGGCCGGGAGCTTTCTCTTTGCCTTTCTTTGTTTTCTGGCCAAAGATCAGAAACACGCGTGCATATCCTCCTTTACCCATGCAGTTTACAGCCATTGATCCCATCTTCCTGAATACCGCCATTTTCACATCAACCATCTCACACTAGCACACACCTGCACACACACACGCAAGCACGCACACCATATCCTACCCCCCCCCCCCCGCCTCTCCTGCCCTCCCACCTGCTTCACAGAGACCCCCGCCTACCCTGGCTGCTCTCCCGGCTCACTGGCACCGCCCTGCTGGATGGAAGAGGCCATAAACAGGCTAAGCAAGAGCGATCTTCTGCAGCTTTTCTCTGTGACTTAGTTTCCGATCCTTCCCCCGCTCAGGACCCTGCATTGTTATGGCCTCTGTCTTCTTTTCTTTCCTTCCGTTAACTCTGGCCTCAAACACTCTCGTATCTGTGGTAGAACTTGTTGTAGATCCCTCGTGCGCTGTCTCGTCCTGTGACGTTAGTTCTGCCACTGGTCACGTGTAGTTATAGAGTCATCTTGTCCATCACGTAGCTGCCTTCCATTTGTGCAGAATGTAAACCGATCCAAGTGAGACTACCCATTCTTTAGGCCATGAGGTCTTTGCAGCTGTCGAGTGTTTGAGGTTACGGTTGGTTGAAAAATGCCAGCATGAACCTGGATGGGAGTGTGCTTAAGTTGCCTTGGACCATTTGTGTGTGGGTGTCTGTAGATTAGAGTGTGTGCATGGTAATGTGTGAGCTCTCAGTGGCCTTTGCTCTCTGATTAATGCTGCCACTCCTCCTCTTTCCCTCCCCCCTTTTTTACTGTGTTTGTGTCCCCGCAGCACGCGTAAACAAAACTACATGATGAACTTTGCCCGACAGACCGCTATGCGTCACTACTACAGCCGCAAGAGGCGGGCGCTGCCGCAGAGCGCCTGAGCTAAACGAGTAGGCATCTCTGAGCTGCCAATCACACATCCTCCTGCCTCACACACCCTCGTTACCCCCGCCACATACCCCCCCCGCTGAAAGCCATCCATCCGTGGATTCCAGTCAGCCTTACACGCCCCTCACCCGTCTCTGCCAGGCCCCGGTCAGAATTGTGGGCCATCCATTTATGCTCCAGCCAAGCTCGGCCTTCCCCAGTACACAGTCCAGTGGGAATGAAACTCATAATAAGGAACGAAGCTGCCATTTTGTTGACTTTTTTTTCCCCAAATGATGGTTGGAGTTTCAAGTTGTTTTCTTATTGTTGCTATCGTTCCTCTGATTCTTATTCCCGCCTCCGATATCCACCCCCCCCCCCCCCCCCCAAAGCCTTGAGCTTCACCCGATCCCTTCTTTCCCTACCACACTGTGAAATTGAGAGATAATACATCACTGCTGAACTGATCAGCCCTTTGGGGAGTAGCCTCCCCGTCCACTGAGCCACCAGGGGAGGGGAGGACCACTCCACAGCCGCTAAATCAATACGCCAGGAGAAAGACATACAATGATACTGACCATTCAAAGGAATAACGGCGATGAAGAAAATCCACAAAAAAAAAGAAAAAAAATAGTGTTCTTGATGTTCTGTGTGTCTGTGGGTTCTTTTTGTGATGAGTTGACTGTGGTGTTCTGTTTGTTTGTTTGTTTGTTTTCTACTAATTCATATGCTTTTGAGGGGGGAGGGAAGGGGAGGTGGGAAGGTGCTGGGTTGTGTTTTCTTTTCGTCATTTATTGGATCCAGCGTTGGCAGGGCAAAAAAAAAAGGCCTAGGCCTAACACCAAGAATGAACAAAAGAGTTGCACGATGACGGACAGAAGAAAATATGAAAAAAGAAAAGACTGATCAATGATTTTTTTTAAATGATTTTTTATATATGTTGGTTCCCGAAAATACAGATATTTATGGTAAATGGTTCTTCACGTAACCTATTTAAGATGCACTGTGCGTGAAATCTGTATGTTATTTTCTAGTGTTAAGTTATTAGACGGTGGAGTCAGGCTCGCAGACTGCATCATCTGCCCTCTTACTTCTATCCCTCTTCTCGTGCCCCCCACCCCCCATCCCTTTCACTCTCTCTACTTATTTCTGGTACTTGGAGATGAGACTCTATTAGTGTTGTTTTTGAAGTCTGTGTAATATGGACCATCTGCCCCCAGTGTAACACCAGAATAGCAATCTCCTGTATATATATGTATATCCACTATGGGGAGACCCAGCAGCCTTATAAAAGGGAAATAAAAAACTGTCCAAACCTCATAATGTACACCATGTGTGACCTCTTTTCATGATTAAAAGTCTGGCTTTGAATGCAGCAAAAAATGTTTCCATACACAGTATATAAAAACATACATACATTTAAATATACAGGGTCTATGCTCCTGTTTAGGCAGTCTGGGTTAGATTCTGGCTCTTGTGGGGGGTTGACAGTAAAGTCCCTCAATTATCATATCTTTCAACATAGTTTAAATTGTTTTCCTCGTCAACTTTAAACACTTAAATGCCGGAGGCCAATCAAATACAAGATGGAACAGACTAGTAACTGTGCCTGTGTTGGTAGTTATGAGTGAACATGCTGGCCACCATGTATTAAATTACTGGATAGAACTGACTATGTGCCTAGACCTGGAGAGATGCTTTTAGTTGGCAATATTGGATGGATTTTAGTTCTTTCAGTGAAACTTTTAATCTGATGTGTTCATGACACTCAAAAATATGTCAGGAAACAATTTATCATCCAAAATTTATTTTAAGACCTAACAATAAAACCAGATAAATATGTGCATTATGAGGAATAAAAAAAAGTAAAATCTGCCATCACATTGGTGCAAACCTCAGTGTTGTCAAACTGGGTTTTCACCACATTCATCCACAGACGTTTGGCCTTAATCCACAGCAAGGCTTCAGAAAGGCCCATTAGCAGCGTTTTCTCATCACAAAGTGTATGCAGCCGTGGCGATGGCTGCAAACATCACTGTGGGGTACAGGGGTCTGAGCGGGGAGCCCGCGTTACAGTACGGCCGGTCACAGCAGCTGTAGCTCATGGCGTAGGCCGTGCCTTTGAGGCGGAGGCTGTACTGCCGGCTGCAGCGTTCCTCCAGCAGGCAGCCCCTGGCCGACAGGGCAGTGTAGTTGCCGTAGCGACCCGCCGCCTTGAAGCACACCTCATTAGGAGGACACTCTGTCACGATGAGTTCAAACGTCTTCTCAATCTCCAGGATGGGGCTGTAGAAGCACAGCAGGTTTTCACAGAGCAGTGGAGGCAGGAGAGGGCAGAGCCACGCCACGACCTGCAGGAGCTGCAACACACTCCTCCAGGAGAGAGAAAAACAGGTCAAAAGTATTTATTTGCAGTTTCAAGAGATTAGAATTCATGACAGACCTAAGAAGCAGTAAAGAAAATCTGCTTCAGAAGTAAAATGGATCCAGTTTTTAAAAAATATCTTTGATTAACTAGCCTTAAACTCAGTTGAATGTTTGTCAACTGCAACCACTGATCAAATCATCTCTTGGACAACCAAAAACTGATTTTTTTTTTTTCACTGGCTCTGCAGTTCTCAATGTGCATTCACAAAAACAAAACAATTTATCTTATCACTTTAAATTGCTTTGCTTTTTGCAATTTGAGAAAGTGAGCAAACATTTGACTTTGGCTAAATCTTTCACAGATTATCATTTCCAAAAGACTCCCTCCCACCCCCGGTAACTTACCAATTCATCTTAAAGATTTGAAATCTAATCAGAGAGAGCTTCTCAGAACACTCTGAATGAATTGTAGTTGCATTACTGACTGAGATCTTCTTAAGACAAGCTCCACCTGCCAGCACACCTGCATGTAACACGCAACTACACCAAGTGGGAACTTAATCATGGAGTCTTTATTCTGGAACATTCATCAGTACCTACAGATGCCAGCATTTACTTATTAACACTAAGAGGGTGGTTAACCAGCCCACCCTCTTTTTTTTAAAGACATCCTACACATTTCACAGATTTTTCCCTCTTAATTGCATATAAAAATATTGCCAAATTAAATTACAAAAGTACAAACATTTGACTAAATGTTAGTCACAATTGAGACTTGATGGCTAACAAGCCACCCCCCAGCCTTAAACACTTATTCTACAGAAAGGCAGACAGAACAGTTGGAGATAAAGTGTAGTTTACACATGAATCCCAAGGCTCTTCTACTTGAACATTTGTGGTGGCGTTATCCAATTTAGCTTCGGTCATCCCCAGTAGCTTTTTCAGGTAACTCTCAGGTTTGGGCACGGTGTTGCATTTGTCTTTGCAGCAGCAGGTGTGACTGACGTTGAACTCAACTCCTCTATGAAAGAGCAGCTGGTAGGAGCCGCAGAGGTCAGCATCCACGCAGCCCTGGGCGGTCAGCATGTGGAAGGCGCCGTAGTGACCGCTGGACCTGGAGCAGCGCTGGGACGGCAGGCACTGGCTGGTGATGTTCGGACACGAGTGCTTCTTGTCCTGCAGGGGACAGAAGTAGCACAGCAGGCCGTCCAGGGACAGGGCCGGCAGGACGAGGGCAGACGCCAGAAGGATGACCATCAGGTGGGACCACAGCGGGGCTGACCGGTGGACGTCCCCACAGCTGTAAATCCACACACCGTGTTACACAGGAAATATTCAGATGTTTGTTTTTTTGTTGTAAATCAATGTTTTCCACCTGTTGTTCCTCTGTTGTGATCCCATCCTTTCGTTCAGGGCGTGAGGTGAAAGTCTCCACAGCAAAGCCTCTGATTACCAATCACCATCAGGTGTGCCTTTAAACCCCAGCTGCTATTTAATTGGAAATCCACACAAACCAAAACAAAAAAACACGCACAAGCGTAACAAATTACAGCGAAACTGGATATTAGTTTTGAGTTTATTGCTTTGAAATGACATTCAGTCTGCTCATTTTTACCATCCTGTGGTTTAAAAAGGAAAAGGAAAAAAAAAGCTTTATCATGATGTGTACCACAGTGCCATCTGGTGTTCGATACGGAACAATGAGCACCATTAAGCAAAGGTAAAGGATTTATCAGTATACTTTGGCAAAAGGCAGTCTTTTTTAAGTCCATGCTGTGAACCGTAAAGGAAGGTTTCATTTCCTGTTGGAATTCATCTTGATTTCTGGCTCACGCGCTGTGGCCGGGTGTTAAGGAGAGTTGTCCCTTCTTGTACAAAGGTTCCTGTGAAAAACAAAGAAAATGAAGTATTCATTATGGTACAGAAAATTGAACACAGTACTCTACCCATGGACATGTAAATTAAAATTTGATGCAGGCCACTACAAATGTATGATGTTGATAATACATTTTCAAAGTAATATGAAGTCAATTCATTAACATTTTTACTGAAATAACACACAAAGAGCTTCTTGCAGACATTTTTTAGGTGTTGTTGTATTGGACTGTCTCATGCAAACCCAATACTACACTATACAATAGCATCCGTGTGCTTTCCTTACAGCTAGCTCGGCCTCCTCATCCTCTCTCCCCGATTCGCCCCACTCATCCTGATCCTCAGCAGGATCGTAGCTGTACAGAGGAATCAGCCGGTGGCGAAGTTCATCTAATCTGAAGGAGGAGAACAAAATCAAAGGAAACTAAATTGGAACAAGAGATAAAAGACACGGCATTACTATTAAGATGCTGCTAAAACTAGAGAACGAAAAGAACTGCTTTACCTTGATCTTCTTTTGATGTAAAAAACCTAAAAAGACATGCACAACCATAGAAACTGAAATATTAATTACTGAAATAAATATGCAGTTACATCAACATCTTGATAAAGTTACATGAGGATCCTTACCACTGCAACTATACATCCAATCAGTGGTAAAACGAAAACAGGGATAAGAGCGTAGTTGCCAGGAAAGCCAGGTTTGTTGTTTGAGGGTGGTATATAGGGAGTAGTGTTGTTCAGATTCATTTTGGTTTGGCTCAGGCTTCTGTTTGGTGGGAGGCCTCCGGTCTGTGCGCCTCAGCCGACGCCTGTTTGACACATTCAGTGAAAAGCTGTCGCTGCCGTTCCCATTAAAGGGTTGTTGTGAACTTTCTTAGCCACAGCGAGGCTCATAGCAGAGCTATAAGGAGTCAAAAACAGAACAATTTACTCTGGCGTGCATCATCCATTTTTGCAAATGAATTAGAAAGATCACTGATAATAGCACAGAACACACTCTAACTACAAACAAAGTCCAACTTACGTTGTGTGTGAAATGCAGTGAGCTTGGACATGTTTCCTTCCTGTTTCTTTCATTGCCTGTCACACAGGACACGCTTACAGATACACAGTTCTTTTGTACCTCAACCTGCTCCATGACATTCCAGAGAGAGGAGTGTACGGGGCTGTCAGATGGGAGTTAGACTGGATGGATCAGATGTGATTTACTACTCTGAAAGTGTTTTTGGCATTGACAGTAAAGTGAAGACTGTAAGAGAGCACAGGAAAGAGAAACAACAAACAGCACTGTAAGTGATGTTTAATGGAGAATTAGCTCTCAGTCTCTCAGGATGTACCTGTCTACAATCCAAACACTGAAAATGCCACATTCCGTTTTCACCAGCAGAGGTCCCTTTGTTGTTGTTTTTGCTGTGAGCTGCCAGAGAAGGGCAGGGGGAGGGGTCAGGGGAGGAACCAGCAACCTCAGACGGGAAGTTGAGCAGAAGTTGAGCAGTACAAGTAAAACCTGCCGAGCATGGCTCCTGTTTGGAGTTTACCTTCACACATGATGGGACTTCATTTGTTTGAGCTTTGATGGTAAGCTTTCAAGACAAACCCTCATTATGCTGGAACAGATCAGTCTTTGAATATAGAATTAATCCAGATTCTTTTTGCTCATTTTGAAATTCTCCTTGAGATAGTAAACCTGTTTATTATTTCCTTTTCCTGGTCGTGGTTTGTAAATCCGGTTATATCATTGTAAGAGTAGAGCTGCTGATCATTTAATGATAGCTTAATGGATGCATTGAATGTCTCACAGAAATATACTAAAGCATTGCTTTAGACTTAGACTAAGTGCCGCCCTCTGCTAGATGTCCAGTTCAAATTTGAAAGCTTGTTAATGATTAGGCCAACGTAAACCCTCAGGTTCAGCCTAACTCCACTCATAAAAGAGTTCTGAAGAAAGTGCCACAAAACTGATGTGACTGAACTTGAATCTGCCAGTTTTTCCTATTTCTTAATGTTATAATAATCCATAGTCTTTCAGTCTGTCCTGCCATGAAGACCTGCTGAAAGAGAAAGTCCTTAAATTATAATGGATCCTCCTCAAAGAAGAAATCATCCGATCCAGAGACAAAATGCAAGTGAAACTGATACCCCGTTGCCTCTGAGAGATGACCTGCCAGCTACACATCTTTATTATGAAATCCTCCCAGGAAACGATGATGCTCATCTGTATGAGAGAACTTTGGGTGGGCCCTTCAGCCCGACTGAGACCCAACCCAGACCTCCGGGGCCTGGAGGTCCTGATGAGAGGAAACAGCGGCCTACAAACGGTCCTCCACCGGTTCCAGTCAGAAACAGGCTTTGCAGTGCACCGGTTAACCCGATGCGGGGACCCCCCCCCCTTCCCCCGAGGACCCATCTGCCCCTCAGCAACATCAAAAAGCAGCTCTCCTGTGACCCCCCTGAGCCTGTTCACAAACTTATACGCTCCCGAACTGTAGTAGAAATTCAGGTGAGTAACCTTTTTGGTTTTCTCTTGAACAAAACAAGAAGCTCTTTGAGACATATAGAAAATAAATCATCTCATTTGGGAGGTAAATGACAAGATTTCCCCTACCCCTTTAGGATCGTTGGACTATCAAACTAATGGACTCTCCAGAAGGCAGCACCAAGACATTGGCTTGTTTTTCAGCCACAACAACCAAGTAAGGCCCATACCCCTTATAAAGGAAAGAGAAAGAAATTTAAAAAATGCTGTGTGTTGTGAATTTAACAGTTTTGGGGATAACATTTTACATTATGTGAAACAGTCATTAATTTAATCTGATCAATAATCTGTTGTTTTTCATTAGTCAACATGCTGTTTTATGTAACTGTTTGTGTGTGTGTGTGTGTGTGTGTGTTTCTGTGCGTGTGTGTGTGTTTTTTCTGTCTCTGGCAGGCTGATGAGGCAGTACAAACACTCAGACCGGGTTCACAACTCCGGTGTGGTGTGGGCTCGACTGTCGCAGATCCATCCGGCCTTGCTGCAGCAGGTGGAGGTGGACGTTAGTGTGTCCACTGATGGGGACAATCGCCAGCTTCCTCTGCCCACAGCATGTGAGCTACTATGTGCCAGTTTAAGCCTCTCTTTACCGTCACTGATCAATACTGAGAAGGAGTGTTGCTCCAGGAGACTAAAGCAGCTCCTGTTGTACATATTGTTGAAATGGTCTAGCAAAACTTAATTATGACTTATGTTAACTTCAGCTATCCTGAATCAAGCCCTTCTTTTGAATCGTTTTAATTAGATAGCATTGTCTCAGAGCTATGCTGAATATCTGTTTGTGATTCTTATGACTGTCACAGTGCTGCATTGAGTTTAAATTTGCTCTGAACATTAATCAGCACAAATGTACACCCAAAACTGAGAGATTTTTTTAAAGTCTTTGGGCTGACAGCACAACGACTGTATAGTTAGGGTTTTTTAAGATGAGATATTTTTTAGAGAAAGTTTGTTGATGAACCATCTGAAAGTTGAACATACAACTTGACACAGAAATGTGGGAAGTAACTAAGACATAATTACCAACCAAGTTGTGATGTGATTTATTTATTTATTTTACTCCTGCCAAATTCACAAAGAGCAAGGCTCAACTGTTGCACCGTAGTTTCATGGTGACGTGTTCTTCATTGCAATGCCACTCCTTTTTGATTGATGACTGTAATAAATCTGTGTTAGAAGAGCTCGACAGACAAGTGTGTGGACTTTGAACTCTAATCTTTTATACAGTGAACAGGAAGGTGAAGAGTCTGATTGACGAAATCCTCCAGCTGCTAGACTTTGATCCCAACCAAAGTGGGCATTACGTTTTAAAACTATGTGATAGAGAGGAGTACCTCAGAAAGTGAGTACACGGCTGTGTTTCTGGAAGCCAGTAATCCAGAAATTCAGGATTCCTTCTCTATTTATCTGTCTGTTTTAGTTAAACAGTAAATTCGGTGTTCTGTATTATTTATCATACACCTTCCAATCTGTGCAGTGATGAGCTGCTTGGTATGCACGAGGTGGTTCAACTCTACTCAAAGTTAAAGCTTGTGATGCAACTTCGACTCATACACCTGAACAACCTAAACCCCCCTCTGGCCAGAGATGTAAGTCCATTCAAATTCCCTCTCTATTCTCCACCACAGTAATGGTCCTATACTGATTAGGGTTGGCCTTATCTTTCCATTTAAAATGCTACAGTCTGAAACACCTGCATCATCAGGGCTGTTGTAGCTTTACACAAAATGTCACGACCGCTGGTATTAAAGTGCAAAAATACAAAAGAGCGAAAGTGAAACTTCTCGATGTGTCATGATTGCTGTGTGTTCAATGTTGTGCGTAAAACAATCTATAATAAACCGCTCCCATACGGCGGTCAGTGTTTTAAGCTGTGTTGCTTCATTGCTTCTCAAAGGCTGAAGATGACAAAACCGTCTGCCAACTTTACCAGTTACTGCGTCCAGTGGGTTTCTACAACATCAGCAAGTGAGTTCATCGGTCCTCCTGCGTAACCTTTGTGAAACAGTTTCCATAACAACTTTTCAGTGTGCGTAGATTCAACCAGCACCTGTTTATAGAAAACAGCTGCAGGGCTGGCTTTGCTCCGTGGTTCAGCTCATCTGTGTCTGTTAAACCGCTCCTTCTCTCACAGGCTGACCTTGCAAGATCTGATCAATAGTTACAACAAAGAAGTGGCAGGGCTCATGAGAAATAAGGTCAGCATATAGAAAATAATCTGTGGAAATTTAGTTTTTTTTTGTCCCAGTGCATGATTGTCAGTATTTATTTTCTGTAATCATTATAGCACTATATGCTGAGTTTCTAATACTTTTAGGCACTCATATGAGATTTACCTTTTTGTGTCTGCAGTTTGAGATGAATATTAATATGATTGTGAGTAGTGTTCGCACTATCAGCAATCTTTTGTTGGGGATATCAAGTCAAGACTTGGAGAATGCAGTGGGCGGACTCAACAGAATCAAACCTATAGCCCTGGTATGATTTCACATCCAGTAGTTTGGTTTGCCATGAAATTACTCCTTTTACTTGACTTTTCAGCTGTTTGACTTTTTGTAAAAGCATTTGTCATAAAACTAATTAAAATATATTTTATAAAGCATAAAATATCTCTGCATGTCTCTGATCAGCAAGACAAACTTCCTCCCTGTTTTTGTTTTACAGAGTCAAGAGGAGATGTCTAATTGTGATACTGGTGAGTCCCTCATGTCCCTGTGTGTTTCAGTGTGACTTGACAGGATGATGAGAAAGTGGTATCAAAAGCTCCGGTCAAGATTCTATTCCCTGTGAACCTGAATAAAAATAGGCCTGTCCCACAGCAAAATGGGAATGACGTAAAAATCTAATCAGGTGGAAAAGATGAATGGAACTGAAGTGGCTTATTTTTGGTATTCATCTGCATGAATACAAACCTTTCTACTGAGCTCACACTGATCATAACCTAATTTCTAACAGAAGTTGGAGAGGGTTCTTTCATGACTCAAAAGCATTTATCTTGTGATTAGTCACCGATCAGGTCCATCATCCATTCTGTGTCCGCTCTGTGAGCACATTAACTGACGTGGACTTTTTAAAATCATTTCCCAAGAAGGAGCAAACTCGAAAATATAAGGGTAAAATAAATGTGAAACTGTTATATTACCAGCTAAAAACGTTAAAATCTCTGATTGTCTTGCATTCCCAGTTTTTTCAAGGCCTGGAGTCCAGTGACATAAGTGCAATGCAAACCTGCCTGCCTTTAGAGAACTGGTGTTTCAGCTGTCTTAAGATATTTTCTCTTTCAGCTATTATGATGCTTCACGGGGCACTGTTAAAAGTGCTGCAGATATATTTCGACAACTTCCATTCAGACTTCAGAGTCCAGAATGTAACCGGAATCCCCCAAATCTGTGACGCTGACAACAACAGCGAAATCCTGCAGTTCAACATTGGAGCCTTCTACAAGCTACAGCCCACCTGGATAACCACGTATGTTCACATTTCTAACCACGCACACACAGAAATGTACAACATACGCACATACACGATTAATGACCACATCCTAAACATGAAGATTGGTCATATAAAGATTTTTTTTCTCGCTCGTTCTTTCATGAATTTAGCTATGAGTCTTTTTCGGTCACCTGTGACTTGACATATGGAGAAACCAATATCTGTGACACCGGGATTTCAGAAAACATCAGCACCGCCTTGTCACATGGAAACAAGATCCTGTGTAACCGCATGTAAGGGCTAAGACGGGTTCCTTATTCTGAATATTTATCTTAAGTTTATGTAACGTCTTCTTATTTGTTTACTTAAGAACAAAACCTCATGGAGAAGAAATTAGATAAAGCTCAGTCCTTTGAAAAATTATAATAATATATGTAATAAGCATGTGTTACACATATATATATATATATATATATATGTATATATATATATATAATAGAATAGCAAGCTGATTTGACTGATGTGTTTTACATAATTCTTGAGAGAATTTTCCGTTTCGGTCCAAAGTAAAAGCCATTTCTGCCCTCATGCGTGTGCTTGTAATCATCAGGATGGTGTTCCCTGTGCCAGTGAATCAGCTTCCATATGAGTGCATGCTGACATTTCGCCTGAAAGGCTCAAAGCGAGGCAAAAGCTCCGAGCTTTTGAGCTGGGCTGTACTGCCCCTGTACAACGACAGGTAGGCTCTCAACAGAAGTGAAGTGTTAGTAAATGCAACAAGCCCAGCAAATCATCACGTTACTTATAATCTTGGAAGCCTTGAATATTGAGTGATATATATTGTGTGCACTGTCTATTTAGGAATCTGGTGAGGGGAAATGTCCTGCTCAGTATGTCCACCTTAGCTGAGGTGGCACATCCACCCTCCCCTGCGCTCTACGACAGCCACAGACAACCCATGGGCGTCACACTTCAGGTCAGTTAAACCAACCAGCTCGACCCCATATTTACTAAACAGCCATGTGTATGCCCACACATCCATCCTTTTCCACTCCTTAGCTTGAGTTCCGGGATGAATTTGAGTGGGAGTATCAGAGACCCATCGCTCTCCCAGGGTCGATCATGTTCAGCCAACCATGTGATGAAGTGGAAAAGAAAATGTCAGAGGTTTCTAAGAAGCACTGCCTCCGCTTGTGAGTACAGACAACTTATACAAAAACTAACAATTGTACCAACTGCATGACCAAAGTTCAGATAACCAATTTCGTCACCAACAGTCTGACAGAGAATGAGAAGGCCTTCCTGTGGAGTAAACGCTATTTTAGTGACAAAGGAAACACCTTCCTCCACCTGCTGCTCAGTGGAGTCCCACGATGGCAACCTGAAGACTTGACAGAAATCTATACAGTTGTTGACAACTGGCTCCTCCACCTACCTGAGGAGGCCCTCTTCCTGCTCACTAACAGGTAGGATCAGCTAAGATATTTTGAATCACAACCAGGGTTGTTGTAAAATATATACATTTTGTGAAGCAGTGGGGCACAGCATTAGATCTTGTCCCATACTCACTTCCTGTTTCCCTTGTTTGTGTGTTTATGACATCTTTTCCAGTTTTCCAGATCAGACTGTCCGAAAGGCTGCGGTTCAGTATTTTCAACAGATACCAGATGGAGAACTGGAGCTGTTCCTTCCACAGCTGGTCCAGGTGAGCTAACCAACACAGTTTTTAAACCTTTATAAATAATTTAATCTCAGGCACAAACATGGCATACATTTTTTAATACTTCCATGGTGTGGCTCCCCAGTAGTTTGGTGGCTGTTTGACCAGTCCACGTTTCCTTATCCTGCAGGCTCTGAAAAGCGAGTGGAAATTGGACGGACCCCTGGTGACGCTTCTGTTAGAGAGATCCCTGAAGAACATACGAATTGCACAACAACTCTACTGGTTAGTCACACCTCAGGCACAGATGTTAAGAAGCTCAGATCAGCCTGTCGCATGAACAAGATATAAAACTAATTCAATTGATGGAACCTTAATGATAATACCAGCGTAATAATCAAAGCTGTGTATATGATGCTTTTCATTATGTGTCATGAATGAAAGTGAGAGGGTGTAAAGGAATATGTTCCATCCCTCCTGTGACCCACATGCCATGCTTTTCAAGCTGAAAAGGTATTCAGAGGCCTTTTCAGCTTTTTCACTTCCGCCTGTTTACTTGATTCACACGTAAATGTGCTGGTAGGATGCTGGAGGATGCCCGTACCAACCCCTACTATCAGAGCTGGTTCAGTAAAATTCAGGGGGCCCTGCGGCACTGCTGTGGTCGAGCGCTGAGGCAGGAGCTGGAGAATGAGGCGCGCCTGGTTCATGTGCTTGTACACGTGGCTGAGCAAGTCCGCAATGCAGACAAAGCTCGACGTAAGGTTTGTAAAAAGGTCCATTAAGTTCATTCACCCCATTACTCCAATTTCATTTCATTTTGTTACCCTTGAGTTCTTTTGCCTGCTTTTTTTTCCTCCTGCAGACTGTTTTGAGCAAAGAAAAGACGACTATCGGGGAGTTCTTCAGAGATGGGATCAGCTGTTGTTTACCCCTGGACCCTGCAGTCTGTGTGAAGGCAGTTAATCTGGATGTAAGGGAGTACACGCAAAGCTGTGCATCTAACACACTCGTATGCATTTTAGAGTAAAGTTTCAGAGGACTATTTTCTCTTTGAAATGTTATGCCCAGGCTTGTAAGTTCTACAACTCCAACGCTGCTCCTCTGGGCATCCCATTCATCTGCAATGACCCTCTGGCCAAGCGCATCAGTGTCATCTGCAAGGTGGGGGAAACTTCAACCACGAAACTTCATTGATCTGTGCTGTTCTTCTGCTCACTGTCTTCAACAAACAGAGAAAGCACTCATGTGTATATGTTGTTCAGACAGGAGATAACCTCCGTCAAGACATGCTGGTTCTTCAGATAGTCCGTGTGATGGACTCCTTGTGGCTCCAGCACGGGTTAGACCTCCAAATGATCACCTACAGATGTCTTTCAACAGGCGAAGCTCAGGGTGAGTGTATCAGCAGCACAGGAATTCCCACTTTAATGAGTCTGTTCTAGTAATCTTTACAATTGTCAGGCCTGGTAGAAGTAGTGCCAGAGGCAGTGACTCTGGGAAAGATTCATCAGGAGTGGGGACTGAGCGGGACCCTTCGAGAGGACACACTGGAGAAATGGTTCCATATGTGGAACAAAACCAAGGAGGACTATGAAAAGGTTGAGTTAACTTAACACAACCTTTTCTTCTTTTCATTGTTGTCACACTGTGTAACTGTCTTCCTGCTGCAAACTTAGGCCGTGATGAACTTCATCCACTCCTGTGCAGGGTGGTGTGTAGCCACCTTCATCCTGGGGATCTGTGACCGCCACAACGACAACATCATGTTGAAACACAGTGGACACATGTTCCACATTGACTTCGGCAAAATCATGGGCAACGCACAGAAGTTTGGCAGCTTCAAAAGGCAAGTTGGCAACAATTTAATTCTGTGAGACTACCACTGTGCAAGCAAGAGGGGAAATAGCAGTCAGCGTGAGGGATGACAATATGAACCAACAAGAACCTTCTCCCGCCCAATAACAGGGACAGATCCCCCTTCATCTTCACGTCTGAGATGCAGCACTTCATCACAGGTGGGGGGAAGAAGCCCCAGCGTTTGCACCGCTTTGTGGAGCTCTGCTGTGAAGCTTACAACATAATCAGAGCGCGCTCTGCGCTTATACTCAGCTTGCTGGAACTGGTAGGAGCTTTTTTTTAACAAACACCCTTACACCCAAATACGTTACATAACGTAAACATTCATTTCCAGATGCTTAATGCTGACATGCCAGAGCTGAAGGACTCTAATGACCTGCAGTACGTACAGAACAACCTCAGACCTCATGACACAGATCTGGAAGCCACCTCTTACTTTACAAAGTAATTCAAGCCGGCACCCATAAAAGCACAGCGTGTCCTCCTGACATGTTTTGTGCAGTGGTATTAACGTGTTGCATGCTTCATCCCCGACGAAGGAAAATCAAAGAGAGCATGGACTGCGTTGCTGCTAAGTTTAACTTCTTCACCCATGCCATGGCTCAGGGGAAGAAACAAGACACCCTACGCCGAGACTCCATCCCTGCCCCTAGCAACAACATCCAGGAAGCTCTCATACAGGGATACCATGTCAGGGGAAAAGAAGTGGTGAGGTGGCTCCTTGTGTTCAAATGTCATGTCGCTGAGATGTTTGCTGATGCACCAAAGAGCTTTGTGTCAGATTTGAATGGTCTGAGCCGCTGATAAGACAACCAGAGCTGACAGCAGGTTTCCACACAGCTGGTTTGAGAGAAATGAGTCTTAGCACTTAGCTGAGCACGTGTGTGTTGGCTGTCACTTAACAGCCTCCGAGGCGGCACGGCTGCATTCAGGAAGTCTAAGCCTCTTTTCCCCAGAGTCAAGCAGAGGGACAGTGATGTTTGTTGGCATTTCACTGCTCTTTGATCAGAGGCAATTAGCTCATGTCAGGCTTTGTCATTTGGAGGCACAGCGGAGCACAGAAATTACCTGGGTACTTAAACCGAGTAGAAAAGATTCAAGGCCTCATGGAGGGTTTCCATGAGGGCTGTGATTTTAACTAAAATATAAATAGCATTAAATATTTTATTACTGTCAACCTGCCTGTGAGCTTAATCACTGTTTATCCATTTAGCCTGCACAATAACATGCTGTTTGTGTTTTTTTTATGTGTGAACTGCAGATCTATGACCTGAAAATATCCATAAACGATGGTTTTCTGATAAGTGAGAAAACATTGGGTCAGTTTGAAGCTATTCATAAACAGCTGCAGAAACATTTCATTGAATCGAAGCTGCCTCAGTGAGTTGACACCCTGACCACTTTGAATTTCATCTCTTGCCTCAGCTTTTTCAAAAATTAAGATAATTTGATTTATCCCTCTCTTAGGTTTCCTAGCTGGTATCAGATGTCATTCACCCCGCAAAGGAGGATGGGTCAGCTGAATAATTACCTCAAAGACCTTTTTGCAGGACCATGCAAAGGAGTAAGTTTCCTCTCTGGTTGACTCAACATTTGTCTGATTTTGTCATTGTGATCCAGAAATTAATTATCTCAATAAACCTTGCTGTATTATCTGCAGGATGAGTATGTGTGCAGCTTGTTTTTGGATGGCCCCAACAAAACATATGAAGGTGTTGCAACAGGTAATTGTAAGAAAACATTTTCAAACAGCTAGAATGATGTTTTCATATCACCTCACTAACATCATGCGGTATGCTGTTGTGTCCTGGCTCTCATCCTGACCTGCTGTAGGAGCCTGTCCTCAGATCCAGCTCACCATCTCTTACTCTGACCCCAAGCTCTCAGTTATGGTGAAACACCTGAAGAACATTGTGAGTTTTATTCGATTTAATTCAAGTTGACCAAATATAAAGCAAATAATGTTCAGAAAAAAAGTGTGTGACATGCTCACAAGCAGGAGCCCCGCTTTCGACTGTTTTTTCATTCAACAGAGACATGCAAATGGCTGTAACCCGGATGCCTATGTGGTCACCCGTCTGAGACCAGACCCTCAGCAGAGCTCAAAGAGGAAGACAAAGGTGGTCCGCAATAATGACAGCCCCATCTTCAATGAGCTGGTATGTGCCAGTATATATATTTCCTACTCATGGTTTATCAATTTCACAGCTTCCTTTGGTCTGCGATGACATTAATTGCACTCAATAGGCTCAATATGTAGCATGGATTAATTACGCAGAGAGGTGATGTCTGCATCTGTACAAGCTGCACCACCTGATCATCCACATTTTTCCTCTATGACAGTTATGCTGACAGAGAAAGCGAGGCTACATTCCAATTAGACATTTTAGACCCGCTTCAGTGCCTGTGGTCACTCTGAAGCACAGTAAATGAACTATTGTTGTAAAATTTGAAAGAAAAAAGGTTAACTTACCATTTCCTAATGAGATGATGTGGTGTAAAATATTAAGTACTTTTCGCTAAACCGGAGCCCACCCATATTTGCTCGTCAGATCTACTCTTGGGTCTTTTCTCATGTCAGCTGTTTCTCAATTGCATTTAAAGTGCAGGTCGGGACGAGATCCCAGAAGAGCCATACCACTTAATACTGATCGCAATAAAGAACCAGTAATACCTTAACTTGGTTCTGACAATCGGATGCTTTCTTTGTCTACCTTTTACAGTTTTGACTGAAGTGTTTGAACTGAAATCCCCCTTATGTGACTTTTGAATAGCTGAAGTGTCTGCCTCACCTTCACAGCTGACATATGATCATGTCCCACTGCTGAGTGGGATGGTATTGGAGGTCACAGTAAAGAGCAAGAAGAGCAAGAAGACTTATGCGGCTACAGCCAGCATTGAACTGGATGATGATGTGCTCTCCAAGGACATGTGGTTCCCCCTTCGGGACTACGTAATCTGAGATCTGCACTGCAGGCCTGCTGCCAGCAGGGGGTGCCATCACATCGAACCAGATCATCTGTTCAGACGTTTTTTTCCCCCTTTTTTTATTCCATTTTACTAATCCTTAAAAAGAGTCAGGCACCTTATAGGAGGTAAAATGTACTGTACACTGAATGAGTGTCATTTGTACTGTTTAGAACACAATAACTTTGTTACTCCAGAGTTGAATCCTCTGGCACAGGAAGTTGTTGTTTGAATGAATTTACAAGGCTGAGATGTCTATGTAAGGGGCTGTTTACTTTTAAAGAATAATTCATCTCACTATTGTTTTCCTTTTTTGCTCATCTTACTTGCACTTAAATTTTTGTCCTGTAATTATTTTTCTCCTTTCATAGTAAAAAAATAGATAAAAAGCATGTTTATCTATGAGGGATGGAGACTGTTGATGTGACAGATTAGGCAGGAAGCGAAATTTAGAAAAAGCCTGCTTACCTGTCCAGATTTAGAGTGTTTGTCCCTCCCGGCTGTGTTAACTGGATGTCCTTGACCCACGAAATTGAAGTGGGGGTGAGGACAGTGTGTGAGCAGGGTGACAACGGCCTGTTGGCCTAGGGGCCTGAGTTAACACTGTGCCCCTCATTCTATCCCCTGGCCTATCCATCAGTGGCATTCATACACAACCAAGAACATGTACAGTACGCACAAACCCACACAAGCATGCACGCTCACAGGTTTTTGGCTCAGGACAGCCATCATATTATCTTAATTCCATCCCTGTCTTGACAGGCCTGCTGACCCATACTTTTCTTTGCCTCATCAAAGGATTTAGTGATGAACAAGGATAGAAATAGACTTCCCTGTACTGGATTTGGTTCAATAATGTATACCCCTTTGAGGCTATTAATATTATTCCCTGATGGGTCTCTCTCTGGGGAAAAAAGGCTGGTTGCTTCTCTTTGATAATTGTATTCATGGAGTAAAATTGGTATCACTCACCAGTTTCAGCCCTAATGTATGAGTTGTATCTACTATTTTGGAGTTGATGATTAATAGATAATAAAGATTTCTGGTAGTTTGGTACTTTTACCAAAAAAAATCCCTTCAGTAAAAACATCATTTATCCCTATTCTATTTTGTTTGTCTTTTAAAGAATGTGTTAATAATTTGAGAGTTTTAAGCGTAGAAGTATCATTTATTTGTCTTTTCAGAACTGTTGTTCAAGTATCAGGTGCAGCCAGTAGAAAAGAAAAATGTCTATTTTTGACAATAAACTAGTATTTATATCTAACAAAATGTTGCTTTAAGATTTATTTATTTGTATTTATGTTTTCTGTTTGTGCTGTTGTTGCTGGTTCAAACATGCCTATCTTTCAGTTGGCAAGTTGTTTGTGTGTGTGTGTCTGTGCGTCTGCGCCTGTATGTCTGTGAGACTCTGATATGGAGAGCTGTTTTTAGGAATACCAGACAAAGACAAAGAGAGAAGCCGGATCCAGGCTGCATCCGTCTCGGGCCCGGAGAGGCACCCAGCGGTAGCCTGGAAGTGGAGAAGGAGAGAAGGTATGAAAAAGAAATGGATGCACGTAACATAATTGCTAAATACACATGCATCATTTCCATAACAGCTCATCCACAGAGCAGAAGGTAACCTTCAGCATTGCTGACACCGAGTGCGGTGGCAATACAAAGACGGTCCACAGCGTTATCTGATATTATCTGAACCCCCAACCCTGGCCGTTCGCACTTCCTCATGGCTCACCTTTCTTTAGGCTGGTGAAGGGCAGCGTGTACTGGCCCACAAACTCACTGCTAAGAAGACCAGTTTGATCTCGGACACAGAAGCGGATGAGGCTAAGCTCAGGGACGTTGATGCTGAAGTTCATGTCTGCATCCCAGTGAGGACTCAGAGCTGTAACGTTAACGAGAACGAATCTGTGCACTCTTATCATTGTTATCGTTACACTGTTACGCTACAGTTTATTAATCTGCTTTTATGATTAATAAATCTTTTCTTACCTGATATATACTGAATTGAACTTAATTTAAAGTTTCATCACAAATGTTTGGCTATGAGAGCATGAGCACAGACAGATGGCGATTAAAAGAAGCATACACTAAACTTATCAAAAGACTGAGAAAGTGCAGATAATTGATTTAGAAAATACTTACAGTGGAAAAACTGACTCAAACACAGTCTTGACAGATGATGGGTTTGGTGGCTTAGATTTACATATGACGTTCATTTAAGTCAGGAGTTGGGCTGGCTGGAGGCCCAACACAACATTATCTACATATTAACGTAAATCGGAACCTATTGGGGTACTGGCTTGCCATGACATGTTTTAACTAATCTAAACATTACATGAAATGTTTTACAAGTCTAAATAGGTTAGTGAAGGCATCTTTCTCCATAAACCTTGTTTTTACAAGCTTGTTTTTCCTCACAGTGCCCTGACATTTTTGCACCTGCGAACACAAACTTGTAAAAGGTTTTACTAGTGGCAACTGCAAGGATGATATTGGGATTTTAGTTTGTGTTTGGGACTTTATACTATCATACAAACAGAGCTCAGAGCAACTACTGCAGACAAATAATTTTATGTTGTGTACAAACTGTGTCTTTGTCCAAATGACCATGAATTCCAACTGCACAGAAAGTAAGTATGCAAGTTCACAGGTTTGTGAACTTGCAAAGTGAGTTAAGTCCAGCCTAAATAATCATGTACCACATAATGATCGATGCTAATTAAGTTTATAAATCTGCTTAACTCAAGCACGGCACTCATTAAGATCTTCGTTTGCACTGCACCACAACAAAGTCATGGTGCTGTTCTACTGGAACATCTGGCACAGTGGCCATTTCCAGAAAGAGAAGGCAAGAGCAAAGACTAAATCAGAAATTGGTATGTTTTACATTAAAGACTTCAAAAGTCAAATGCACCCAGTTAACTCTTGAAACTCTATTCAATAGTTGCAAGTTAACTTACAAACAAAGCCAGAATTGATGAGACAGAGCCAAGCCAGCAACGCTGTGTCTTGAGATGTCCTGACAAGGCCACAGTACAGTTTGCTTTGTGTTACTTACAGTTGCCTTTGACAGTATGAGTGTTTTTTCTGCGACTGTCCGATGGAATCCCATGAATCTCCACTCTCACAAAGGGGTCCAAAGCTTTCCCAGTCCTGGGGACAGGCAGGTTGGATCCACTAATCACCTGTTGACAGAGGCAGGAAGTAAAGACGTGGACGGGGGAGTCATATTTGCCAGGGATAAATAGCAAATAATAATGACAATTTAAATCGGTAGCTTTAGAAGAACAGAGAGGGCTGTAATTACACAAGTATGGGGAAAAGTAGACTTATCAGATGTCTGCTCACACTGAGCCGTCCCTTCACTGGCCCTGATCAAAGACAAACCTGCATGCACTTATTACGACATGGCCAGATTGGCTCCGATGGAGCTTTGCAGTGCCTGGCCTGAAATTACAGTCCCTTTTCTTCTTTGGTAGTCACTCTGTAAAAGGCTCCACGTTATGCTTATTCAGTTTCAGTGTTCCCTGCTTGTGTGCTTGCAATACAAAGCTTTGCTGCAGAGAAACAGACTGACTGCAGAACGCGAGCGTCACTCGTATTCTAAAATTATTTAGAAAAAGCTCTAGGGGGAAATATTGTTTGCCTGAACAGATGAATAATTTAATGTTGAAAGATTAACCTGACCCTACCTGTGTTACAACACTCAGTATTTCTCATTAATCTCATTGGCTGAGTAAAAATTGGCGGATTTTCCCTGAAGCGTTCGAATGATACAGTGATGATATGAATAAATAAAACTAGAGATTCATCCCCAGGCACACCAAAAACTTCACACACTACGTTTATATTTCATGCATCATCTCAGACTTTTATGTGTGTGGGTGAATATTCCACGAGCAGACATTATCTGATGTGCTTTGTTTGATAGAAGTCGTAATTTCCTCACTTTTTTATTAGTGTAAGCAAGGACTTGTGTAACAGGGCATCATACAACTTTAAAACAGTTGATTTGGTGGAATCAAATAGAACAACATCCATCCATTTTCTGAACAGCTTATTCCCTAATGGGGTCACGGGGGGACTGGAGCCTATCCCTGTGGTCAATGGGCGAGAAACAGGGTGCACCCTGGACGGTCCATCAGTCCATTGCAGTAAATAGAACAACATTTTAAACATATTTAAAAGAAATTAAAACAAGCAAAAAGAAAGTTGTATCCTATCCAATATATACTGTATACAGCACAAAGCCTCTTTACACATAAGTACATTTCCATGAATAGACTGAGAAGTTAGTATGTGATTATTTTCCTTATGGGATCAATAAAGCTTTAGCCTTGTAATATGAAGCTGCTCCATTTTTTCCCCCCATTGCTGTGAGGCTGTTTGGTACTGTAGATTACAAATACTGCTACTGTCGTTTCTTAAAATGCTCAAAAACAATGAAATGATGTGATTTATTAATTGGACTCTGGGTCTAATTACATTAGATAAACAATGTGTCTCCTTTACCTTTAATTCCTGTGGGTGATAATCTAATTAAACAGACACTCTCTGGGAGTTTTACATCATTATTGGTTCACTGCATCCGGCAGGAGCATTTATCTGGAGGCAAAGAGTGAGATGAGCTCTGCTACACAATGCCCTAGATTGTGTGATGTACACACACACATACATGCACATGAGGAGCACACAGGCGCAGACAACCTTGTAACATTACACCTTAATCCATAAATCCACCATGGGGGGATTATTCGGCGCTCAGTGCTCCAGAGCCGTACCTTGAGCAGCAGGTGTGTGGGTTTGAGGCGGTGTTGGCTACAGCTGGGATCAAAGCTCCTCTCACTGGACATGAGCACTGCTGGCTTCAGGACGTATCCACAGCCCCCGTTGTCTTGGAAACGACCATCATTAAGGTCCATTGGCAAGCCCAAAGATTGGAAATTGAGAGCCACTGCAAAACACCATGAGACAATGTTCGGACAAATGAAATGGAAAAAAGCTGGGGCATATAAAAAAGGAATCGTAGGACAGAAATTCAACTAATAGAACAACGTGAGAGGTTTCTCCATCGGGGAGGGATTTATTGGTTGTGTAGTGCACTATGACTGTGTGTTTTAGCATGTCCACTGGATTTACCATGTTTCATTGCTAAGACTGACCCTTCATTCAAGATGTGTTTGTCAGTTTTTGGATAAAAGAGTGAGTAGATGGATCCCTGTCAGGATATTTGATTTACGTATCAGGAGCTGTTCAGAATTCACAGCTGAGCCTTGAAAACCACCACAAGTACACAATCAATATGGCAAATAACAAAATATTCGTCATAACCAACAATTTGCTCTGCCTCATCTGTTGCGGTTCTGTAGGTATGTCACAAAGGCTCTAAGAGGATGCTCATCTAACTGCTATTGATTCAGCTAAGCGGCTGCTTTGTTCTGGAGTCTCCCACAACTGTGAAAAGTACAGATCCCCAGCTGCAGAGCTGCCCCCACAGCTCGCACACTGTCTGCTCAGCGGGGCTCCCCTTCACACAGAGCAGATGACAGGTGGAGAGCGATGAAAAGGATGAGTAAAAACAGGCAGAGTGACAGGTGCAGTAGCCAAGACAGGATAATTCACAGGTAGATCATTCATACGAAATGGCCAGAGTGCTGCTTTAAAGCTTATCACGGTTTGTAGCAGCTTTTCTGTAAAAGTAAAGTTTGCTAACTGTTGATAAGGTCTGATGTACATACTTGAGTCTAAAGAAACTAAACAGCCAGCCTGGTCTGAACAAAACAATGGCAGAAAAAAAGCTCCAATCATAGCGTGGATGTTAAAACGCAATGAAAGCGTATTAAGGTGAGAGCAAACCAATTAAAAAAAGGTCAGAGAAGGGCCAGGGGAGGTGTTCAGGCTGTGTCGCGAAATGAAATGATCAGGTTGTTCCCTTTGAAGTCAGGCAGCCTGACTTCTGAACTGTACTTTTCCCCTTCTTGGCAGCTTGTAAAAAATTACAGTGCTTGTTCAATGTGAGTCAACTTTATTTGGATTCTGACGCAAGAATTGAAACGGTTCTTTTCTTTAGGTATTCAAGCATTTACAGTAACTGGATGATCAAGAGTTTTCATGCTGATCAAAGTATAAATATAAGTGAAAGCTCGGCAGTTATTGCTTCATGATAAGTGAGCAATCGCGGGTTTTCCCTCCTTTGGAAACGTTTGGGACTGGGCACCTGTTACTCACCGAGCTGAGAGCCGACATTCCAAAACTCTTGGGGGTTGTAGTTGGAGGAGGACGTTCTGGAGCCGGCTGGGTAAATCCTGCTGAGGAAGCTCTGGTTGTGACGAGTAAAATCTGGACCTGAAAGAGAAGTGCTTGTCAGACAGATGAAAGCTCCTGACATTACCCACATGATTTGTGGCTTTTTATTATCACAAACAGAATCTCAGGAGAGGGGGACACGAAGGTCATGGTGATTTCATTTACCATGAAATATAAATGCAATGCCTTCCAGATTAGTTTAAGATGCATGGATACTGGTGAAGACTGGTAAAAAAAAAAACAGGCTGGCACACAGTGTTAGGATGTGTACACCGTTACTTTTCCACAGGGCATTAAGGATTTTTTCAGCTCCAACCCAGACTGTTCATAATCTTTGCCTGACAAGTGTGCCTGCATGTGTGTCTGCAAAGGGTAAGTCCTTCCAAGCAGGAAGCGATTTCATTTCTCTGCATCACTATTTCTCCATTATTCCTCTGCATAGAAGTAGGATGATGCATGTTCTTTTGAATCTGCGTGGAATCTTTTCACTTCCCCAGCAGGGAGAGTGAGTACCATTCAGATTTCTGCTCTTGTGCTGCTGAGCCCCTAATAATACTGCCTTGATATCATAAATATCACTATCAGGATGCATTCACCATCAGGGAAGTTTAAGAAGCTGTGAGTAAGAGCAACCAAAAAGCACAGAGAGCTCAATATGAGGATTTATCAACTGAATCTGCTGGAATCGCCAGTATGAAGTTAAAATACAAGTTATTTTTCCCTTGTTTTGTAATTTATTATAGTACTAGTAGTAACATTTTACCCGAAGCCTTGACCAGCTTACGAGCCTTCTTCTCTGCCATGGATGTGTTCTCATAGTAATTCTGGTTGTCCCTGGAGTGGCTGAAGCTGATGAACTTGACAGATCTTGTATATATAACCAGGTCTGATAAAGCCTCTGCAACCACCACCTTCTTCTTCTACTCATCACGTTTAGGTTAGGGACAAGAAAGTAAAAACCATTAAAGTGAAAAAGTCAACAGGATGGGAACGTTAGCTTTCAGTTTCCACTCAAAATCATTTGCACTAAACCTGCCTCTGAGATATATTTGACTGACTTACTGCCTTCTTTGACCCTGCCTTTCTGGGTGACCAGAACTTTGCTTTGGATTGATGATCCTCCTCCTCTTCGTCCTCATCATCATAATCATCCTCACCCTCCTCTGCACTCTCTTCTGCCCCTGCTGCTTCCTCTGTCTTAATTGGACGCTTTAGCTTTTTATTCTTGATGATGATCTTATACTTGAGGTCCTGACATTCCCACACATCAAGAATGAATTCACATATGAAAGAATGCACACAGTCCCTAATCTTGAAAAACTACAGCAGAAACATTCTCACATATTTGCATCACTTAAACTGGTGATGCATCCTCACATTCATAACCCAAAATCTCATTCTGGACAACCCCCCCCAGCTACAGTTTCTCTCTAACATGGTTGCATAAACATTATTTCAAGCAATGAAGTGATGAGAAGAAACAAGAAGAGAACAAGCAGCTTCATCTGTCTAAAACAGGAGAAAAAAGAAGAAACTTGTGAGCCAGACGTAGCTCTGTGGCAGGCCCCACAAGAGCAAGGCACCGTGTGCAAAGGCAAAATATGCAAAGAATAATTACATATCTACCAAAATAAGCAACAGCTTAGAGGCAATAGTGTATGCAATTACAACCCTTGTAACATTTTTCAATTTAATCAGTCCCATGAAACTATGTACTGTGTGGAAAAATAGAGGTTTTGCTTTTATTCACCTATTTGAGATATACTCTGTGGTTCTCAAGGGACTGTTTGCCTCATTCTTGCTGTTGAAATACCATAAACAGTAAGATAACATGCTAACATGCTGAAAAATAGAACCACAGTATTTTTTTTGTTATATTTTCTGTGACTTTGACAACTTAGAAAAATATAAAAAAATGTGGAAGTACATGTGCAACTAATTGGCAGTTTGAGCACATTAATGTTAGCGTCCTAATTATGGTGCTATAATGCACAGACTCGGTGTTCATGTCGCAGGGATTACTAGTCACACAGCAGACATGAGGCTGAGGGATATTACTCTCGTTTCCCAAGTCATAAAAATAAAATACGATTATGGGGAATATGAACGGTGAGGAGAAAGCATAGCTATTTTTTATGCTTGGAAATCCTACAGCAGCAGAAGTCAGCGAATGCAAAGGGGTTCAGTCAAGACAACGCACATTCAGAGGAAAAAAGAAACACCTACATCCTACTCATCATGCTCAGTAAGCTGAAGTGACTGCATAACTGTCTTTCATGGTGGTGGCTTTGTACTCAGCTGAGACATATCTTCTCAGAGGAGACACCAGAACCCCAGAAAGCAGCTTGTGTGCTTCAACATTCTCAGAAAAATGGACATTTCCACGATCAGTAACATCAGATTTTGTGACTCTCTAAAGAAGCCCTTCATATACAAACTTCCATGTACCACGTATGGTATGTGCTAGAGAAAGCAAGAAGCACAAGCCTCCAAAACAGACTAATGAGGCCCTCTGTGACGGTGGAAATTTCTTGTTTTCTCCTTGTTTTGCTACTCTATGACAGGCTATAATGATTCATATATTCCTCTCCTTCCACACGCAAGATTCTTCTGCTCATTTAGCGCACACATCTTCAAACTCTCACATCCTCTTACTCTTACATTTGGGCTTGGGAGGTGTTTTGTTGAATGATCCAAGGGAGCTGTCAGCAGCTTGTCTCCTAGAATGGAGATGAGGTACTGGGCCATGATCTCCTGCTGCTCCTGGCTGCAGTGGTTTTCCAAAGATAGGATGACTGGGTAAGCAGAGACCTGACAGGAAGCGATTGCATCAGAAAGAGAATAAAAGGCAAAAATTAAGTTTCCATTTTCAACAATTAGCATCAACCTGAATGCACCTGACTGCTCTCTCATTGGGGTGTAAGTACTTCACACTAGTCCAAGAGAATGGCCAGAAAAAGCACATCATAAACAGTGAGGAAGGCAAAAGCAAGAGGTTATTAATTAGAGCAAGTACTTCTCACACGGACACGAAAGTGCCTTAGGCACAGCTCTTGGAGGAAACGCATAACACGTAATAAACTACATACTATTACCTCAAAGGCATGTTGTTCCACAGTGGTAATGACATCCTTAAAAAGTATCTTAGTTGTGAGGGTGTAGCCATGGTAAACCACAGGCTCCATATCTGGACCATCCCAACAGTCAATCTCCAAACAGCGACAGCCTTTTCTCAGAGCACTGTGCCACAAACAAACAAACACATGTAAGCACAGACCTGCATATTTCTGCGTTTATGTGTCAGAAGCATGTCTATCATTAAAACAATGTGCTACTGGAGTTTTTCCTGAAATGAAAATAAAGCAAGATTTACATACCAAAAGATTACATTGCTACAAAATGCATATACTATATAGATTATACCATATAGAAAAAGGGTCATATATTTTCAAATCCAACACAAAGTTATCTTTTCTTCTTGTCCAGATATTCTCCGGGGCAATGCTTCTGCTTCTCTGCCAGCCTCAAGCTGTTTTTTTTATGTAAATTATGGCAGCTGCAGCAACACATCAGTGTGTATGAGAAACAGCTGCAGTCTCGTTGTTGCACAGTTTTTTAAATCAGTGAGGTGATGTGTAATAAAGTCCATATCTTTAGCCATAAAATTAAACAATTATAGTGTTAATCAGTATTAGATTTGACATATTTTGAGTGGCATACTATGAACAGCTTTGATGATATTTATAACTCTTCATTCTTTCCAAGTCTTGTGGCAGACTGGAGTTTACATTCATGGTACAAAGTGGCACATCCAATCTAATGTAATCGCATTGAACTTAAGGTATATATTTGAAAATGTTTTAACTATGGTGGAACATATCTAGTGTATTTTTCTATACACTTCCTAAACCCAGCACAGATGTGAAAACAAAACGAAGGGATATAAACTAATAAGGTGAAAAGTAATTTCCTGTGATGACTCATCTACACAACTGCCCTCAAAAGGGGTTACGATCATGAAAGCTTGAATGGGCTCATCAACAAAGACCAAGAGTGGCTGTAAAGTGGTAAAAAAATCTATTTTGCCATTGATTGTCAAACTGGGGGTCAGAACCTCTGTGGATGGTATCACAAGATAATTTTAATGTCTGTACCAGTAACACAATTTAGATTGATTACATTTTATTGACTGTTTTTCTGAGTGTCAAAGTGTTTATATAGAAATTTCTGATGAGTAGTGAGGGTTCATATTCCTCGACCCAAAGGAAGTGATAACTGACTGGTGAAAAAAGATTAATTCAGAGGCAATAGTTTAATTTGATTTCTTACATGAAACTATACTTTTGATATTAGTAGAATTCAGTCTGTGGGAAAAGGTTATGGGAACATTGTATGCTGATACATTTTAAAGTTATTTGATAAAAATACAGAGCCTCCAAAAGAAAAAAGGGCTTGTGTTTCAGTAAGAGGAGCCGTCACGATAAGGGGCTGCTAAGCTCTGCTGGCTCTCTGGCGTCATGTGCAGTTTGCACAAACTAACCTAAAAATGCAAATTATCAACACATACAAATACATTATTATATGTTCAGTGTGGTAAAATGGAAATTCTTTATAACCTTTCTTGAAAAAAACTCTCTGCTTCCACTAATCATACACACGGCCTTTTTAGCAACGATGGTAAAATCAGGTTGATATTGATTTAATTTCAAGTTAACCCCTTAAAAACCACAATTGCCAGTTTTTTTTTTTTTTAATTAGTAGTTTGAATGGCAAAGCATCTCTCCTCCTGTAACCAGTTACTTTGACTTACCCATCAGAAATTCTCATTTTGAAATTCTGTTACTTATTTATTTTGCTGCAACTCTCATTTGGTTAGGTTTAGCCCTCAAAAGTAGATGGTTGTGGTAACAATTTCAAAGGAGCTTTCTAAAGACCTCACAGTTTTGTATTTGTCTTGGGGTAATAGTTTCATTATCAAAGAAAACCAGAGCAGTCCAGGCTGCTGGCTTTGATGGGTTCCACTCCACCAGCTGACCAGGGAATTCAGCACATTTGCTGGATCCATAAATACTGAACTTCTGCTGCCATCAGCTTCTTTTGTAATCACTTCCATTGTCCCACAAAAGCACAACAGTGGAGTCACTTATCTGCCTCAGCACATCAGCATGTCAGTGAAATTAGAAGAGCATTCAGTATGCAGATAAGAGGCATGTTTTGCGGGACCCGACAATCTGAGGATGAGATTTTGGCCATATTTTCAGGCAGGATTTAGGTATGTGTGTGGTGTTTTTAACAGGAAAAAAGCTGATTAGATGTAGAGGATTAGATTATGTTTGCTAATGTACAAATGCTGTTTACTTAAAGCTGTAGAGCTTCTAGGAAGTTTAAGACTTCAGATGAACAGACTGGCATCGCAGTGACCCCAAAGACAGTTCGTAGACATTCTCAGTCACCTTTGCTTGGGTAAAACAAAAAGCACAAGTTGTATATACAACCGCTTACCTAACGTAGGCATCCAGGTGGCTCTCTCCCACCAGCTGATCACCAGTCAGGTATGTGTTGTGTGACGTGGAGATGAAGTAGCTGGTGAGAGGCTGGCCCATATCTTGGTACACTGAGGAGTGAGCTTGGTTGAACACACAGCAGTCTTTAGACTCCATGTATCTGAGGAAGCCCTCAAAAGTCATTGACCTGCTTTCTATGGCTGGAGAAAGAGGGGAAAGCGGCAGATTGAACACTGTTAGCAAACAAGAGACCGCAGACAGCGTTAAGCCAAATCTGTCGTACTTTTGGCTATGGTATTTGTCAAAGAAAATACAAATGTGGCCATGTTTGGTGGACATGCAGCTGAGTTTAGGCTAATGTTCTCACTCTTAATCGTGACTATCTCTCAAGGTTATATGTGGGCCAAGAGGAATGCAGCTGTGGGCCATGTTTGGGCAAAATACACTTTGCTATCAGGTTCTACTCTGTGATGATACTGAATGCACAGCAGTGAGGAACGTCCTGTTATCATGCTCTCCTTGTCATGTCCAGGAGAAACGTGCCTGTAACTTTTGCTTAAGAAAAGTTTATTCACTTTGACCAGCTTTCACACGATTTATTCTTTGAGATGCTGCCTTTAACCGCTTTTACAACAGACAGCTAAAGCATGATTACATATATTTAAGCCTTATCAGTAGTCATGCATATGCCCATTTACAGAGAATGCTGGAATGTGGTGTACAGATAAAAAATAGAATGCAATGTTTGGAAATAATTTAAGCCCTCTTAGTCATTAAAAACAATGCAAAAGACAACCTGGAACAGTAAAGAAGACATTTGATTTTTTTTTCTTTTTTGTTTTAAAAAATGTAGGCAATTTGAATTTGATCCCTGTACGTCAAGACTGAAAAAACATTTGGATGTTGCAATCTTGTCCCAACTGTCAAATCTTTTGGATTTTTTGGTAGTAACTCACTGTTGTGATAAAGGAGCATCCCAAAGATGCAGAGTCATGAAGCAGCTGTAGAGCTGTTCCCTGCTGAAGGAGATGAATTTTTCAATGTTTAAGAAAAACGTTTTTCAAAGTAGAATTACTATCATCAAAATGTTAAGAGAGCTCTGAAAAATCTCGCAGTGGGTGGAACTGAGAGCCACTGTTAAATTATTATGATTTTCAGGCTCTCAGGAGCCTATCGTGAAATCACTCAGTAGTCTCAGAAACACTTCTAAAATCATCATTAATTAAATTCCTTATTGCTGCATCCTCAAATCAAATTAAATGCTTTGTAAATGAGAAAGGATTAAGTTTGAATCTGTGATCTGATAAATCTGAATCTGAGACGGAAGATACATCAAATGCAGAGTAGGGTTCCCATTGTAGCCCCACTGATTTGTAGCACGGAATCTGGGGGCCATACGGCTCTTCTGTCACTCACCAGTCTCTTCGATCTCATATCTGTCAATCAGACTCTCCACCGTCTCCTCATTCGCTGTGAGCTCCATCTGCTCCTTGTGGAGGAACTTAAGCAGGGCGCAGGCAGGCAAAGTCGACAGGCCTGCTGCATAGTTCTGATAGAGCAGCTGGATTTCAGCTCTTCTGGATGTGGGAGGTTTGCTTTTCTTCATGTTGGCCTGCACACAGTAACATATTCCATTAATCATCTTTTCTGTTGATAGCTGGGGGTTCAGGAAAGCTTGTTTTTTTATTTTACAAAGACTAAATATCCCTCACAATATGTGTTTAAAGGAGGAAACTGATAAATGTAGGCACATTTGAGGCTAAATCTTTTCTTTATGTTGTCATCCTGATAGTATCTGAAAAACTTGCGTTTGAAAGACACAACGCATGGCTAAAAATATTCAGGAACCAGCAAATAGAAATGTCAGTCTTGAGATGGATCTCAGTGTTTACCTGAGCGGATGGTTGAAACACTTTTCATTCAAACTCTGAGACAGAATAAAAGAGAAGTTTGGGTGTTTGCTCCCTCTTCCTCTCACCCCCTACTCAGACAAAATCTGTTTAGCTTTCTCAAGTTAGTCCCTCTCCTCTACCTGTCATTCCTCTCAGGAAGGGAGACACAAGTGTCTGAGACTTTCTCTGGCTTTGTGTTTCAGGGTGTGTGTCGCTTTCCCTCCATACCTTTCATCTCTCTGCTCAACAGCCCTTCACAGTTCAGGCTCATGCCTATATGCCAGTGTTAATATCTCAGTGTCCCACAGTGGACTTGTCTCATCTGCCTCCAGAGTGTAAATAACAGAGATATATTGATTCTGCCCCCATCTTCATTAACCATCTATATGACTGCAGCAACTTTGCTGGACCCCAGCGACGCATAACCAGCCAAGTCATCAGTCTTACAAGAGACATGGATGTAAAACAGTTAGTGTAACAGCATTTTAGAGCCAATATGGCTCTGTCATCGTAAGCCAGCTCGGAATATACTTTTTTCTAACATATCAAATACATAGCTTTAAAAAAGATAGTCTACCTGGAACATGAAGCATCTCAGGACATACAATGTAATGATATGAAAGGTAATTAGCAGAAACTCACCAGTTAAAAACTTGTAACTTTTCTTCAGGTTTCTGGGGAAGTTCACAAAGTTGTTGCCATGGTAACAAAACATTCCGATTCTAAAGACTTGTGTGGTAAAAAAAGAAAAAAGCCTGAAAACGATAAATACATAGCAAATAGCCTTCTTTGAAGTTTTTGCAAAATAGATTGGAGGTCCCTATGTGTCTGTGTAGCTCTAATCTTTTCATGGCTGAGCAGCAAATGTGCGAAAATACAGGCAGAATACAGTCTGTGAACAAATAACAGGTACTACAAGGTGCTAGCATGCAGGGGGGTGGGGAATCATTTTCATAATTCTTATGGCATTTTGACATGCTAATGGGATGGAAAAGGCAAATCTCTAAAGGTGAAACCATAATAAATCACTTCACTAAGATCCCATCTGTAGCCTCTTAGAGATTGTTAGAGAATGAAGATTTTTTTGCCTGATAAATAGATAGATAACTGTTTCGGTTCAAAATTAAATTGATTAAGCTAAAATGTAACTTTCTGGTATCTGTTGGCATTATATTTATTAAAGTGAAGAGAATAGGTGAAGGAATTCTCCATCGACTGTGCGTGGAAGCAGATCGATATGGGTCACAGTCATTGACAGTTGGAACATTTCACTGTTAGAGGGCAAAATACATAACATAACACAAGTAACAACAGTGAACAGTGATAAAACTTTCTTTGCTAACTCTATTAATTCTCCATCTTTGTCCCTTTGGTGCCACAAATCAATTCAGACAGAAGACGTTCCAGACATTGTCGATGAATTCTCAAACCAATCTCCCAGCCAAGCATCTTAAACTGAACCGCCATCTTTTCCGACACCAAACATGTAGCTTTGTTCAGCTCTAGTTCATAAAACAGAAAAAAAAACGTAGAGATTTTTTTTTATAACAAAAAGCCTTAACAGCCCTTAAGTACATTGCAATACATTGCAAAAGTATTCCAAACAGCAAAATCTGTGCATTGAAGTGTCAGTTTTAGTCAATTTCATCTTTAAATTTAATTTAACCATGAGGCTGCTGAACATAGGCACATTAACACACACACCTCTTTACAGACAAATCTGTATCTTTGTTCATTCTATTAAAATTGTTCCTAATATTGTTTATTTCCATTCATTTTAAACACAACATATACACACATAAGGATCTGTCTTCTAAAATAAAATATTAAATATGAAAAATGTGTAACTTTGGCCTGTTCTTTTCTTCAGTGTGACCAGGCAAAACGGCTCCTTGCTTACAATTCCGCATGATGACAAGGTAAGTTAAAGCCCTGGCATCTCCAGTGTATGCTACAAGTGCTACGGGGTGCAATGAGATGCAATATGAATAAATCATGCAAATGACTGCTGATTGTCTGCAGGGCACCAAAGACTGAGGAGTTTTTAGAAGTATTTACAATATCAAATAAAGTGAGCATCCCACTGGATGAAAGTATGAATGCATAAAAAACAGGACTGTGCATGGCAGGTGAAGCGTGTGGATTCTATTATTTTAACAGCAGGTTTGGAAAAAGCCTCCGACCTTGTTATCGATATAAATCTGAATATTGTGGTGTGAATCTCTAGCTCCCGACTACAGTCATTCCCCAGTCAAAGCCGTTAGTCATTTCTGTGTACAACATGCTTAAACAGTTTGGCCTTGGATCTGTCAGAACCATTGGGCGAATGAGTTTGATGTGATAATTCCTGGGCAATGAGCATGATGACCCATGCAAGGCCCCCATCTCTGCATCACTGCCCCTCCTTCTCCACAGTCGGGTAGCTGTCGAACCGTGTGGATTCAGTATGTGCTTGTGTGTGCAGCTGCCACTTATAGTTTCTGCTCCTGTGTGCATCTGTGTCAACTGGAGTGTTGATAGTAACAGATTAGCTTTGCATACGTGAGCTTGAGTCTGTGCATGCGGGTATGCAGAACTGTGGAGTTCAGATCAACCAGCAAGGTGCCACACTACCTGTGGGAGAAAATCAGAGCGGTTTCTTCACATATTGTGATGTGCATAGTTCATAGCTGTATCTCAACCCAAGGCTGAGCTCTAATACAGTGGCATGCCAAAGTCATAACAACACCTGGTCAGATGCACACGTTGAGCACAGAGGAGGCTTGTGCAACTTCCTGAAATGGGCTTCTGTAGTTGATCAGGAGGTGTGGCGCATGCATGTTTCTTTCTGACACTGCAGTCCCAGGTGGATTTTGTCTGCCTCATTTGGTATTTGAAGAAGCAGAATGCCAGTGGTAATAATTCTCATCAAGGGACAGCAAGAGAGGTGAGGAGCTGTGTGAAATAAAGCATATCAAACAGAGCGAAAGTTAAAATCAACAATCCTATGTTTATACGAATTAAAGTATCTATTAAACATTCTCAGATCAATAAGAGATTCAAATTTTATGCTGCATTGACTTTTAATTCATTTAATTTAAACAGCTCAAATTAAAATGAGAAGTCATCCCAATGGAATCTACAGAGAATGAGAACAAGTTTAAAACGTGTCCAATTAGATGCAATTCAATTCAGTCCTATTATAAAATAACTCATAGCCACTAATTATAATCCACTTAAAGCCGATTTACCATCATTTGACTAATAAAAAGTTTTTAAAAAATCATTTACATTGAATCTTTTGATCAGAATGAGCTTTCAGAAATTATTTGTAGCCAACTATTATCAATAAAAAACATTTTAAATTGTATTTGTATAATTTTAATTCAGGTTGCCAGGTTGCAGCTTGCATTGTTTCAAGTAAAATCCTGAGAACATTTCCTCCACTAATTTAGTTGATAAGACAGAATTTACAGACATGTTTTAGGTCAGGTTATTCCATCTTGAAGGTCCAGAGATAAGGATTTTCTGATATCAACTGTCTAAACAGTCAAATTACCACAAAGTAAAACTCACCCCTCCTCACAAGCTTGTAACGAAAGACAGTTACGGTTGTACTACTGGTGACATTTAGTTTGATCCTTTCATTCAAAGACAATCATTTAGTCATTTGATAAGAAAAAAAATTCATACAGTATGGAGGGCCTAGAAAACTGATGTTTGTCTAAAACCACAAGCACAAACATTCTAAGTTAGTAATTTCATTATGATTCCAGACTTGATTAGTATGCAGTTATGTAAATCAAACTGGACTTTACATGCCCCTGGATTAGCCATGCTTCTTATTATGCGTATAATACACATTAATAGATGTGTTTTCAGAATTGAGTCCCTATGGATTTAGTTTTATAGTCACGTCTTCCTGTAGAATATTTTTGTTTGAATGTGCATATAAGGTTCCTGCAAGTCAGAATGAAGGAAAAATCAATGACAAATCCGGTTAATTTCACCCTGGACAGTCCGCCACAGGGCCACTCAAAGACACACAAAGACGAACAACCACGCACACTGACTCCTGAGGGAAATTTGGAATGTCCAAGCAACCTAACCTGCAGGTTTATGGATGGCGGGAGGAAGCCGGAGAAGCAGGAGAGAACTTATGCAGACACAGGGTGAACATACAAACTCCACAAAGAAAGGTCCTTGTGGAATGGTGGAATAGAATGCAATAGAATGCCTCCCTTCTTCCCATAGAAGTTAAGGAATCAAAAGTTACCATGAAATGAATCAAAATTCAAAACTGCTTAGTATTCCTGCAACCTCCTCCAGAGATATGACTGTGGCTCTGAGTAAATGACCATCTGTTGGGGAGAAGCACGCCCAACAGCATGACTGTTGGAGAGGTATCAGTCTGCCTTCTCTGACAGGGCCGCTGTGTCAAGCGAGGCTTGCAGTTGGTTATTAGGAGACACCCCAGTCAAGGGAAATTAACGGCTTACCACAGCCGGCAGCAGGTTCATCTGTAATTCAGCTCAGGATGGAGACAATGATACGGATCTGGATCCTCAACGGGAATGTGTAATCCTGATGATACATGCATACAGTATGCAGGTTGGGACAAGTTGGCCACGCCAAGCTAAAAAAAAAGCAAGTGTGAGTAAAGTGTGATACAACTAACTGGAAGTTAAACAAAACTGGCCTCTCTTCTATATCTACTTCAGATTCAAAACTTCAGATAGGAAAGGGACAACACTTTAAAAGGGGACATAACTAACTTTCTACAGAGCCACAAGGCTATTCTTTCTCATTATGTTGCAGAGCAGAAGAGAACTGAGATACTGAGAAAAGAGCCTTAATAAATCAAATCCCTCATGTTACAGATGACAAAAGAATAGTTGTCAGTTTTTTTACCAGGTGCTAAAGCGTTGCTGTTCCGGCCAATGAGGAGCTATCCCTACAAATTATACATATTTCGTCTGTATCGCTGGGGGCGTTAACACCCGGTTTCAGCGCCAACTTGCCCCACAATAGCCATGGGAGATTAATCGTGTCTGTCAGCCTCACTGAGTGCTAAGACTGATGTGCGAGGAGGCCGTTCATATGGCATTGATAATTGGACCATTTAGCCCCCTGTCATGGTTCACATAGCTTCTCCATCTCTTCAACAAGTTACTGATCCCTTATTAGTCTCAGAAGAGTTAAGTCAATATTACTATATAACTTCCCTTCTGTATTAAGACTACTTATGCTTGAATCAACCGATAATTTTGAGTCAGTCAGTGAAGTGTTTTTCTGCATTTCTTTGTGTGTGTGGGCGAGTGTGTGAGTATAAAAGCCATTTTTGGCAAATAAACTTGTGTCACTTTTATCAGAACCAGTTTGCTCAGCCAACATAATCGTGTTATTGGAGGATGGAGAACTCTGTCAACCACCCTCAAAGGTAAGACTGTAAAAACCTACCTGCATTGTGCATCAGATCTATGCCTTTTTTATCTATGCCTTTTAGAGGTGTTGTTTTTGGTGTGAATATGTTGAAGATTTTTCCACAAACACAGGCTCTAATGAAGGTTTTTTTAACAGGTGTGCACCCTGATATAGCGACAGCACATTGTGTACCACTTCACGAAAGATCATTTAATGAGACAGTAAGCTATGTCCTCCATGCTGGGTTTTAGGATATTTTGTCAATCTGTACCCTCAAACAGTAAGGATGGACAGTGTGTGATTCATCATGCCAGTTACAAGCACAATCTGGGTCTTCATTAAAAAGGTTTGTGCCATCCATAGTTCACCTGTTTTCACAAAGTAAACACCATGCAGAACAAGGCCGGTTTTATGCTGTTCCTTTCATTAAAAAATGTTAGCTATACCCTAAAAAGCACCGCTGTGAATCATTTCCTCTGAATCAAGCCTTTGGATTCTGGTTCCAAAAAGGCAAAAGTTAGTAGTATAACAAAGAGCCTTTCTTAAGCTCTGAGCCATGCAAATGGTTCATGTCCAGGGAAATGTTGATATTCACTGTGTGAATACCTTGGCCCAACGTATCCCAGTAATATTAACAAAGTCATTACTAAAAGTTAATTAAATTCTTCACCTTGCTTTCCCTTCTAGATTCTGAAAAGAATTTACCCGTGGTCATAATTATCTATAAAGATAAAGCTACGGACCAAAATTGGTTCTTCTACCATTTTCCACTCCTACATGGCACTCTCACTTTTTAAAGCTTAACTCATCATCTCAGAGCTCCCAGATATAAATGTCATAACATCAGAATTAAAAAGTGTAACTGTTGAATTATCAGAGTTTTCTTTTGTTTCATTTAATGCTTGAAAATCCCAAGAAATTACCAAAGCATCAATAAATGCATTGTAAGTATTGCCTGCCCATCCAACTCTGGGTTATTCCTTTTATTTCAAGGGGCTTGAACAGGGTGACATGTTGATTGTGATAGAAAAAATGATGGTTACTGTAATTTGTGTTCAATTCCAATTAACTAGATTTTTTCTTAAAGCCCAGGTAGGTGACTTGTCTTTTATGACCCACCAACCGACCATTCACTGAAAAAAACGCCCCCATATCTAAATGAATGAGGGGCTTGAGATTTGAACCTAATATGATGAAAATATTGCTGTTCTTCTGTCTTGAAAAAATAAAGCGAGCATCTGGGAAAACAACAACCTTAATGCTGTCAAGAAAAATAGGAAGAAAACAGTTGATTTTAATACCTGGAGATAAATAGGTGGCACACACACACATGCAAAGCTGCGATTATGTAGAGACAGGATTGACATCCCTCAATTCCTTCAATAAAGTGCACCCGTGTCAGTGAAGACGTAAACATGTCACATAGTAATATGATTTATTTGTTGAAAAGTTGTAACAAGGCGTACAACAATACATTTCAAAAAATGGTTTTGTAACCCAGTATCAAGTGATATAGGTATAAATTCTAAGCCCCAGCTGTCCTTCCCCAATATATAAGAAAAATGTACTTTTCTCTACATATTTCCCATTGACAGAAAATGGATGTTTTCTTTACAGTTCATCCTAAAGTGTGAGCTGGTTGACCCCATTGGGACTGAAATGAGATCTCCCATTCTGGTTCCATCACTGCACTCTCTGGAGACTTTGCTAATTCATCTGTTGCTTGGCAACATCTGGTAGGGACATGAATTATGGCAAACAGTCCAAACTCTTGTTACATAGAGACAGGTTTCAGTGGATGTTGACTGTTTTTATATAGAGTAAATATTCATCCCTTCATCCATTGTCCATACAGCTTATTCCTAGTAGGGTTGGGGGCTGGAGCCTATCCCAGCTGACACTGGATGAGAGGGTACTCCCTGGTATGGACACCAGTCTATCATAGAGCCACACAGAGACAAGCCAAAGTGTAAATATCTAGCAGCAAATTTCACTGGAGCTTTTCCATCAAGAGGCTTCTCTGATTCCAGATATGAGCAGATGACTGGGCCTGTTGTAAATCACTACAGCAGCCCAGAGGCTAAAGTTTCAGTTAGCCCACTGAATGCCGCATTAACGCTGAAGCATGAGCATACAGTTTCTGTTCCAGCTGAACAAAACAGTGGCATTACATCTTTACTGGCATTCTTCTCATGTCCCCATTAAATGCATCATATTCCAACAAAGCTGAGCTACAAAGCAGAGATTTTCAGAGGGCACCTCCAGTTATTAACCAAGCTGCATCATGTTTTCCCCTAAATCCTCAAGTAGCTTACTTGTACCTGCAGGGCCATGGCAGTCATCCAGGGAATCCTTTTGTCTTGCTTTGTTTTCCTGCAATTTTTCAGTGTTCCCCTGGTATCTGCCTCTTTTGAAAAAAGACACATGGTGCACTCTAAATGACTCTGTGTTTGACTTGTTCCAAACAACAGGCTTATTTTTATTATTTTCAGGTAATGCAGACTTTGGGGTGATATGAGTGCTGGAGCTATTAGGTGATCCCTTGTTTTGCTCATTATTTCTTTAACATTTTATACAATTTCTTTATACGGTGATTTTTATCCCCTAACACACAGCTGCTATATCTAGAATTCTCTCAAACACACCTTTCCTTTGCTGAATCCTTTTGCGTCGGTGACAGAATATCGTGGCTGTCTGACGGGGGACTTGATGTTCATCCCGGATGAAGCTTCCACCGCAGTCCCAGAAACATGTTCGTCACAGCTCACTAAATAAATCAGGAACCCATTAATTACATTTCACAGCAGTCATGATCTGCAAATTTAGAATCGAGGAGCTTATTTAGTGCACAGTGCTGCACAAGTAATTGCATGGTACTTTAGCAACAAATTACATTACTGCTTCTGTTCTGATTCTTTGCAAGGTTAAGCGTTTCTTGTCTTCTTCGTTGTACTCTATCATTCATAACACGCTTTTCTGTTCAAAAAGTTCATGAAAAAGTTTTTTTTTTAAAGTCCCTACGGTTTAAAGGAAACCCAGATGATGCAAAAAAACTAAACAATGTCTGAAACAAAAATTTCACAGAGCAGCACTCATGCAGTTTTATCTTTTTTCACCAGCAACTCTTCAAGTCACAGAGAGTTAAAGAGGTCTTAATCAGTCAGTAAACAACTGGAATGGAATTTTTCCTGTAGGCAAAATATATTTTTAAAAAACTGCCTCTGCCTAAGCTTCCGATGTGGAGACAATTGGATTATTGTTCAGGTGATTGGCGAACACCATTGACCCGGCCAAGATCATAAAGAACTATTTGAATTTATGCTCGAAATGAGAGGTAAAGTGAAAACTTAACGGCATTTTGATAGCTCACTTCAAGACAAGAAAACATCAAAATAACACTATCAGCATGATGATAAATGAAGCAAAAAAATATATTTTGTTGGACTTTTTATTCTATTCTAGACCAGATAAACTCAGAGTAGTCAGGTTATTGGTGAAATACTGCTTTGTGCCAAATCATCATGACACTCACCTGTTGAAACAAAGTTGTTCTTTTTTCATTCCTACTGTTAACATGAGCCTAAAACTGTCTCCATTCTTAGATAGTGCTGCACACAAGATATTAAATATATTGTGTCCATGCAGTCCATGTAAAAGAAATGCAAATTTAAGATTTATCTTTTTTCCCAGATTTTTCAATTTGGTAAAGATGAGATTATATGAGATGGAATGGTTAAAATATGGGTACAAGTTTAAGATGAATTATACAAAAGCCAAGATTTTCTACGGTCTCTTACCACTAACTTCAAATACGCTTAAACAATGAGCTCTTTGATCTGTAAGCTGCATGCTCCTGCATGTTTCTCCATGCTTCTGGTGCCATTTCTGCTGCTTATTTGCCAGTTATCAGAAACTGTACCAAGCTCTGGCTTTTATACAATTCAACCACAGCACGTCTGCATTTGGACTCTCCTGTCCGTGTTGGACCTGCTGCTCTGTTAGCCCTAGTCAGAGGTCACCATTGTCATCCATCCATCCATCTGACTGTCACTTTTGAGGCTTTGCTGGCTCTTTATTTATTTTACCTTTCTGCTGAGGACAGCAGCTGCAGTGAATGTAAGCCATGCAGTCGACAAGCCACTGATTAATCGTCTGCCTGCAATGAGAGTGAGCGAGAGCCGCAGGGGGAGGAGATTTAGGGATGGACAGCATAACTGTCCATGCAGGCTTTGAACCAGTCTGACTAAAAACAGTGGCTGAGTAACTGTGAGCCTCCCACTGTGACTGTATGTACTTAAGTGAATCCAAATCTGTGCCCAACTGTCCACTGTACATCTCTGTTTACTTGTTTACGTGTAAATTAATCTTTTTAAATGGACAGCTCTTTCCTAGCCAGCGCTCCTGGCTCTGTTCACCCTGCAGGAGGTCAGAGCTGTGACATTTCATCAGCTTGGCTGTATTTGAGATAAGTGAGGAATCAATATTTATTGATTGACACAAGAAACTCCTCCCTTTCCCCGTTGGCTTTGCCTGGGCATCCTGCTAAAGAAGGCAGATGGTCCTTAGCCAGTGCTACTCAGCACACGGGACATGTTCAGTGGCACAGACACAACCTCTCAGCAGGACTCAGCTGTGTCGTGCTGCCTCTCCACCACACAGACAAATTTAGATTTTCATACAGATGCACTGTGGCACTCTGTCATGGAAAGATGGCGAAATGTCAAAAAGTGAAAACATGACAACAGTAAAGAATATTGTGACCCTTTAGTCAGTTGCATAACACTTGATTTAAAAGTAGTTTTGCACTTTTACACCTCCACATTTTCCATCAAAGTGAGTGAGTGCGAACCATTTCTTTTACATCTTGTGTGAAGTGCAGTAAAAGCCTGAATGTTGATGAACGTCCTTTAAGCTCACTGGACCTCATCCGGGGAGGAAACTCCCACTCATTGATTCAGGGTCAATTTACCATCCCAGCTCTTTTACTGTTGCTGACACCAGCCATCATGCCAAGACCTCAACTACATGCATAGTTCACTGGTAGAATGCTCCGTGGAGTGTTGGTATACCTGAACAGGTGTAAGGTGGAGTTCTGAGAACCTGACAGGTAAGCAGAACAACAAGGAAAAAACTGTTTTAATCCGTAACCCCAAGGTGTGACAATCCCAGTAGTCAATGGGAGAGAGGCGGAGTACACCCTGGACAGTCCACCAGTCCATTGCAGGGCCACATAGAGACACACAAAGACACACCACCATGCTGCCCCTCTTTTTCACGTGTACCAGATCAAATACAGCAAGGGGACCCTTGCTTTTAGGTGTTCCTGCCCAATCTAATCAAAAGTATTTTAAATATTCAGATGTTTAAATTAAACTGATACTGGGAACAACAATAACACACAGTCTATTGGTGGAAATGCTTAAATTTAGCATCTGGTTTAGCATCGCCTTATCTGTTCATATAACTAACATTTTGTGATGAAGCAGCAGGGCTTAAAGTTCCTAATTTGCTTGAGTTTTATGAACGTTCCATAAAATGCTCGTCTAATAACCTCTCTGAGGACGGATTATTTGTAGCAGAACATTAAATACTTATGCAGCCCGTCAGCATACGATGACAGCCAGTATAAATCTGTGAGGTTTCAGGCTGTTGCACCATAACCAGACAGTACTTTTAGTCACAGGGACTTTTTTAAAGCAACTAAAATCTCCCTTTTGACCAGGGTTGTATGTATTTACAACAGCCGATGGATATTAGTAATCAAACAATTTGGGTGCTAACGTATTACAGAGGAGTTATATGCAGAAGCTACAGGTCTGTCTGAAATGGAGGGCTCATATGTAACACATACAGGTGAAGCCACAAATGAAAAAATAGTATGGTCAGATAACAGTCACTTGGCTTTTTTTTTCAATGGGCTAACATCAGGAAATAGTTGATCAATTAAACTTTTGGTTGACTGACAATTTCACAAAAAACTGCAACAATTCTAAGCCTTCCATTACACAAATGGCTGAGAATATTAAAGTTAAAATGCAGACTGACTTTCACAGGACAGATGTTGTGAGTAAGACTTATTAGTGTTTCGTTCCTGGTACCTAAGGTGGAAATCGTCTGTCATTGTCCAGACACTTTTGAAGGTTCTTTCTCATTTGTTTGCCTCTTTCGGCTATAGACAGATCAATTCAACTGCAGCACCAGACTCAAATTTAAAACTAAACAGGTGTGAGGGATGCTGCCGATTTGGGTTGGACTATCTAATCTGGATGCTACGGAAAAAGCTCCAGTCTAACCGTCACTGGCTTTGCTTCATGTGACTCGCTCTTTTTTCCCCTCCCAAATGTGATTATACACACTGTAGGGGGGAGCCTAGTTAAGTGTATGGCCATGATGAATCCACAATGAGGACATACTTAAGCAGACTGAAGGGATGACTAATGTTATGTAGAAATTCAGGATTTCACAATAACATCCTGTGTTTGAGTCAAAGGATCAGACACAAATATGAAGACAAAATTTCCCCTAAAGGCCAAAGGCGTGCATCCATTCATGTAAAACAATTAAAGAACTTGGTGAAGTAACAGTTACACTTTGATCATGAGAATGGTTGTGTGGTTGAGGACGATTACGTGACCCTGAATTTCAAAAGTCTGCCCGAACTAACTCCAAACGGAGTAGATGTTCATGCATAAATATGTGTTTATTATTATGTAAAGAGGCAACAACATATGTTATCTTTTTCTGGAATATATTTTCACAGTCATTATAGTCAAGTATTTTGGAGGTTATTCCATCTCAAATAGAAAGAATATGGTAGAGTGTATTTGTATTATGGGTACATTGGGTAGGATGAGTTTTGCTGAATTTTCCAGCTAAAACTGGAACTTTTTTGTTTAGAAGAGAACTCATCTCTTTGAGCCTTATTGTCTCAAAGTCCAGAGTCATCTGGGAATATCAGAGATGTCCTTGAGGAGTTTTTACCATCGGATATAAAGAATTCACATGACCCTCGCTGGCCCGAGAAGATGCTCATGACCTGCTCGCCACACTGCTCCTCTTTCCCGTCAGACACAGGATATGCATGTCAGCAGAGGGAACAGCACGCTGAGACATTCGGAGCTCTGCAAAGACCAACAGATGTTGCGGTTATACGGGACGTGTCATATCAGCTTCTCTGTCCAAGATACAGATTTTAAAAAAGCAACAAAAAATAAAAACCTGGTTGGTTTCTCATCTTTTCCTTAATTAACACTCTACATCCTCTCAGTCACTTAAGATGCACTCTCTCCCATTCCCACAGGGCCATATATAATCATGTCTTTAAACCACCAATTTAAACCAGCATTTGGCCTGAAGTGGTCTTCCAAGACCTGATCTATAATCTGCTACTTAAGCATAAATACACTGCAGTGTGAAGGCACAGGCGAGCACTCATGGAGATGAAACCAGGAGATACTACACATCAGAAGTGGTGATGTCAGCACGTGTGATTGCCTTTAATAGGCAGAGCATGTGGGGGAATCAAACATGTCGGGTTATTTATGCATTTCAGCTAAGTGGAGCTTAGCCCCTGATCAATGTTAAGTAGCCCTTCATACTAACTGAAAATTTCCCCCATTTATTAAATGAGACAGTGGGATCCTTTGAGTAATGATACCATCTGCAGTTAACACAGACCCACTCCTGTTATGGGTGGATGATTTAGCGTGTAGTGTATCTACCGTAAACTTTTGTCGGCCTAACCACGTGCAGATAGCAATTAATAAAGCAGTTTATGGTGCAGGGGGAGCTGGAGGGAGACAGGCTAATTTCATTATCTCAGCACATGCCTGTTCTTTTCTTACTATCAACGCCTAAAGACTCGGTGTAGGTAATATTATAATTAATTTGGTTTAGGTTGTTGACTGGCGTGGATTTCAGAGAGGGGAAGCTCTTTCTATTGCTTACAGATGTGACGCACTTTATCTCTGCCTGTTTCTACTGTTGTTTCACTGCTCAGGGCTCCAAACCTCAATCCGGCACACTGCAAAAAGAAGCAGAGTCAACCTTTACAGTACTTAGAGTGTGAATACGCTGATGCACCAAAAATAGGCTAAATCTGTTTTTACTTCCCACAGCAAAAAAAACAAACAAAACAAAAACCTATAAATAAAAGCACAGTATTTCTAGGTTAAATACACGGGCTGGATGTTTATTTTTTCAACCAGTGCTGACCTGCTGGGTTTTTCCTCTGACACCCATTACAACGGCACCTAACTGAGGCTGCTCCCAGCATCCCCTTATTGCAAAACAGCATATCCACTCATTCAGTCTTAACAACACACATCAGTAGTGGAAACCTCATAAAACCTGGGAAGAAAAACGTTTGGACGGCACCCAAGAATGCAATGGATCCAGTCAGTGAGGTCATCACTGTGGTGAACAGAGAGCCATTTGTGGGTTGGGTTTTTGTCAGGCTTAGACTTATGGTGATTCAGAGAGGCGTGTTTAACGATTCAGAGGTGAGCTGTGAGAGCTACACCTCCCTTTGGGGTCTTTTTCCACGTTCTTTAGAAAAGCCCGCAGACCCGTTCATATCATCCACATGAATTAAGTGATACACGATTTTGCAGAGTTGTGTATGACGCCTGATTTGCTGAGTTGACTGGCCCTCATTGCTTTTCTGGTTTGTGGTTTATGCCAGTCAAATGATACTATGTGTTGAAACTGGGGAAGCAGAGATGACATCATACTCACATTACTAGGAAATGTAAGGGATGGAATTAAGAGACCACTACTGTGATTTTACAATTAACTCCGAGGTTTAGAATGACCCAATAGAGGCTATATTAGGCCTCCATTCAAGCACAGAGTAACTAATTATCTCTCACAGCCCATATGATTACTGATTTAAAGCATCATGCTCATACTGATGAAGAGATTTAAATACACAAGCTGGAGATCCATGCAAGTGAGAGATGTGCACAGATGCTAAGTGCCTCCAGTCCAAAGAGGCCATTTTTATCTCTTACCTTGCACAGACAGACAGGAGTCTCCTCCTGAGCTGGCACCAGAACAAATCCCTCTAACAGCTGCGTAATAATGTGCAGCCATTCATTACACTGTGATGCCCCAAGTCTGGCCCGAGCACCTGAGCGGAGAAGCCTCGCTTTGCTTGACTCAATTATGTAAGAGAGTATTGCAGAATGCTGACCACAAACAGCACTTTATGAGTTAATGATTTTGTTTCGTATTCATTACTCAAAACGTGCATTTGTCACACCCCTTTACAGATCAATCAATACTTCGGCAATTTGAAGCTAAACTTCTGACTGGAGGTTTGTGTTAAGTCATCCAGCTATGCCAGCTGTTTGTTTGTTTCATGTCATGAAGAGAGACTTGCTGAAGCATGTATGATATTCAATCCATCCAGGAGGAGTTATTTTCTTACCTTATTTTCGTACAACGTAAGTACTTACTACAGGAATCAACCCTGTAACTGGTGATTCTACTAATGAATGACATTTTCTAAACATAAGGATAGCCTATAATTTCAAAAATTGGGAAAAGTATGTTTCACTTTTTGAACAGCAGCACCAGTGAGGTTTTAAGTTTGCTGTTGAAGATTTGAAAAACAAACGTCTTAGCTCTCAGATCCAGTCGTTTCCACCTCATTACATCTTATTTACAGATATTTTGAGGGGAAAAATAGTTAAGTAGCTCAGCAAATGTTTGTGGTTGAACAACATTTTAAAGGAGAAAATACAGCTGCTAAGAAAAGTTGACTAAAATATTACATTTAGCAGCTGTCCATTTGAAACACAGCCTCTGTACGCCGTCTCAAATCAATATGAGGTTAATCACAAAGGGCGCATGAAACTCGGTTTCTTCTTCCTTCCTGTGGACCATTGTCCTTATACAAAGGGAAAAACGAGCAGGTTTTTTGTATTGAACATAACCAGAAAGATGGGCTATTCTGATCCTGGTAAGTAGAATACAAAGAGCCCAGTGCTGACCTCCGCCCAGGTCGGGCATCCCTACCTAACTGAATCCACCTCCTTTAGTGTTATTTACCAACCAGATGACCTAGCTGTAGGGAGACATATCTGCATCCCAACTAAACCACATGCTCACCCTAAAAAGCTCCCTGCCCGGTGTCGAGAGAACAATGCCACACAGTGCAGCAACAGGCCAGGCACAGTGGTGTTCGATGACTTGCCATTGTAACGCAGTGAAAGGCTGATGCTGCAGTTTCAGGGCACAATAACAGATGGAGGAGAGCCGAAAACCAAAGGTATAGTTTGCCAGTGTGGGTGTGTTTGTTGGGCTGTGTTTACCTTTGTGTGCCAGTCTCTGTGTCACTCTGGTAGGCTAATTCCCTTCAGCAAAGCGAGGAACAGAGCCATCTTTATGACCCTCAAAATGTAAATCTTATAACCTGACTGGTACTTTAACTAATCATTTTTAAAGATGTTTGGTTAACATAACAATACCCACTTGCACAGCAAAAATCTGAGGGAAGACCAGGGGTTCTGTCTTGACAAGGACCCCATGTGTTACCTTATACTTTGGGGATTAGAGCTTTCCTTAACAATGTCTGCAGTGGGGTAAAAAAAAGGATTATGAGGCCCAATGGATCAATTTTGTCCTGGGGCTCTTTAACAGGTTGATCTGTCCCTTGCCCAATGGGATGCCTCCTCATTAGGAACATCAAGAAGGGAAAAAAAGAAAAAAAACATCCATGCAGAGATTCAGAAAAAACACAAAAAAAAGATTTTTAATTTTTTTTGTCAAGCCAATCATCTCTTACACAAGTGCATGCACTTTACCTGGCTGCCCCACACCAGGGAGACTCCTGCCCTCCTCACAGCCATCCGCCGTTGCCAAGGTTTCCGTGTACGCGCTGCCGGGGAGCGGAGCCGCGCGGGTGTCATACATTAGTGCCAGACATGGCGGCGGAGCTACAGCCCGAGTGGATTTCGGCTCTCCCGTCTTCCTGGAGTTATGGGGTCACTCGGGACGGACGCGTCTTCTTCGTCAAGTAAATACCCCTTAAAAGAACACGGTTTAAGTCATACTACTTTTTTTTTCTCCGCTTTAGTAATGCATTCGTTTCCCTCTCTCAACAGCGAAGAAGCCAAGAGTACAACCTGGCTGCATCCAGTGAGCGGCGAGGCGGTCATAACCGGGCACAGAAAAACTCCAGGTAAAGATGCCGCTCGGCTGTCAACTCCAGTTTGTCATGTCTCCCCTGCGTCTGTCGCGTCCACCGCCATGCGTCTACTTGTGGTCCGAAAACCGACAATTCCCACGCTCGGAGGGAGGCTCTGTCACCCATGCCGTCTTTCTCAATGCACGAGTGGGTCTTTTGGCGCTCGCGCTGTTATTAAGTCAGCCCCCCTCGCGACCACCTCTGTCCGGCTCGTGCCACTTCTTCGCGAGCCTCCTTCTCAGGTTGGTCTTTGAGTGAAGTTGTTGAGGCTAGCTAGCGTAACTTGAGAACTTGTGAAACGGCGGCTTAATAAATAAAAACATCCTCGGGCTCGTTGGCCTCTTCCAGAGGCTTTTCAGTTCGCTTTGAACTAGCCAGCGCCTCGTAGTGACCGTGTCTAAGGTCATTTTGTCATTTTCCTCCTGATGTTTTGCTAAGCGGTTCCTGTCGCAGGTATACAGCAACTGCTGTAGAGAGATACAGAGCCGAGGAGCTGAAAGAGGTCATCTGTTTATTTGATTATTTCTTAATTTTTTTTGTCACTGTCCGGCCAAAAAATGAAAGAAGACACTAGTCGACAGTCTTTAGCTCAGGGTCAAACGAGCTCCCTGCTGCTCCTTATACTGGTAACGTTACCATGCAGCTAATGCATAATGTACACAGCAGCAGATCTAAGTCTGCAAGATTCTTCAAACTCTCTTCATTCCACTAAGACTGTATACAGTGGTCATTTTCACCATTGCTCGGTTTAATTTTACTTTGTAGGACATCACACTGCTGCTCCCTTTAAAAAAAAAAAGAAATCAAATTTCCTCATTCCTCCTGGAAAAAACAGGAGTTGAAGGGGAAATACTGGTGTTGTTTGAGTGCACCTGTTATGAAATAGAAAAGGGGTATTTTGCAGGTAAGTGCAACTGTGTAGACATTAATAGTTACTTTGCAAAGCTCTGGTATAACCGTGTGAACCCTCATCTTATCACGGCTTTAAAGCTCCAAACAAAACTTCTCTTTGGTATGGCTTGGTCGGCAAAATATTCTTTCTATTACATTTTTTTGTCATTTTTAAATAATATCCAGAGATCGGTTTTCAGCTTTTCTTTTTTAAGAATATGAGAAGCTTTATTCCCATACATTCCACATGACAGCTCATTTCCTCAGTGCTTTTTGTTATTTTCCCAACAAATTTGGCATTCTAAATGTTGTGAACTACATAAAATCCCAGTTGGAATTATTTTGAACCATACCAGGTTTACGTAAAACAAGAAACACATCAGCTGGGGAGACCAGTGATTGAATTATTATGTATTATTGAAAATGAATTAATCTAAGTTTTTCCTTTTCAGGTAAAGCAGCCAAGTACCCTGAACAGCCTCTTTCCTTTTCCCTCATTTGGTCTTGAATTATTTTCATTTCGACTTGGAGCACTGGTTAAAGACAAGAATACCACACAAAAGAAGAAAGAGAACTATTTCACATATTCACAGTTGAACACAAATTAAATTCCGTGAGGTTAAGACCGATAATCAATGTATTCCCTGTGCTCAATGTGTTGTCATCCACCTTTTTTGCAGACCTTCCCACTGGATGGGAAGAGGGATTTACCTTTGAGGGAGCACGGTGCTTTATCAAGTGAGTCCAACACCCTTCTTCAACAAGGCACACATTTTTCTCAACCTTAGACCCTACAACATGTCATACAAGTTCAGATAACTTCCGTGTTGGCAAGATAACCTTCATGAAAAACATAAATAGTTTAATCTTTACTTTAGTGACCCCAGATGAATGAAACATTCTTTCAGTCTTATGCTGCTCTCAAAAACTGGCTTTGTGTTGGTGGTAAATATATACAGGTTGTAAATTTTGAACCTTTACTCTTGTTTTTTGTGCTGTGCAAGGTTATCTCTCAAAAGTTAATTATTACACAAGATGCAGTGCAAACACCAGACAGACCTGAACAAATTGTGGTTGCTGTCTTCTTCTGATCTGACTTACCCTGCTTCGAGTAATATAGTCTCTTTTTCTTTGTCCTTTTTGTTTGGTTTTAAACAGTCCCCTCACAGTTTAGCATTACAATTGTCTTAAGGTGCCCACAGACTCAGAGATTTCAACAGTTTTATATTGCCAACCCCATTGTGCAACATGGAACTGTTAAACCTGGGTTAGGCTAATTTGGTCCATTACATATTGTGCACACTGTGTATTCGTGGTCTAGTGATGTGCCAATACCTGATGGGGCTGCATGCACTTAGGCCCTCTGCTGACACACTTCAGCCATGTGTTGATTTCTGTTTGAATCCCAGATATTTGGTTTACTGAGTTTTAAATCCATCTAGTAATGTTTGTTTTTAACAGCAGTGACAGTATAATTTGTGTATTCTTTTTGTTGGTTTATAGTAGAATGCTATGACAGCAGTCACTCTTATAGATGGTCAGCCTGGTTATGCCAGCTTAGATCCCTATTCCAAATCTGACATTTGACATGTAGGATGGTCTAAAAGTGCATTGTGGATGGTTGTGGACTAATCATTAGAAGTCTCCTTCCCTTTGATTTTGTATATAACTCTTCGGTGGTTTTATGTGATGATACAAATGTGAGGGATGCTGTCCTTTAAAAACTCTACCTGACTTGTTGGTGGTTATGTCACACACATCTTTGAAGTACAGTATACGCCACATTTTCGTCTCTCTCTTCCATAAAATGCATGCGTCTAATCAAAAGAGATCTTATTCACTGTCACACAGTCAGCTCTGATTCATTATCTGCGCTCTCCTCAGTCATTTTACTTTAGTGAAGATATTGCTAATGAAAAAACGTTATGCTTTTTCAGCCCCACGTATTTCTGTCTTCTTCTGCGACTCCCTCGTGAATTTGAGGGGCTTCATGTGGCAGGTTGCCAGGCCGTCTGACTGAAAGGCAGTCATTTTTTTTATATCCGCTATTTTGTCACAGCTTCAAAAACAGACTTGGGGGCCCACAGCCATTAGCTGATCCCTCTGATTCTGGCTAAGTCCAATGATGCATGCAGGATGCAGTTTTGCAAGTGAAAAACAATTTGTCTCATCCATCGGCTGAATTTTAAACAAGACAAAAACTGTGAGGGAATCATTTATATTCAAGACAAGCCTGGCGTATGCTGTTGATCGTAGCCCCACAAACAGCCACCAAAAACATGTGTTAAACATTTTGAAACGAGCCTTTTCCAAATTGAAGGAAAGCGAGCAAAACACCAAAGACCAGCTCCAACCTATCTTCTGGTCCCAAACAATACCCCTTATGCCCCCATACTCATCATTTAGTGAGCACCCACCACAAAAGACACACTGTAGTTCACCTCTCTTTATATTCTGCTTTGCAGTGCTTTTTCACATGTTTGAACTTATTGCCTCACTTTTCATGTCAGTTACCTGATATCTTATTTATATCCGACTGGTGCGTGGAAGGAACTTTCTGACAACTGTGATCTCTGTACTCAAAACAAATCACTTCAGGCACAACATTCTGTATATCTGCCTATATAGTGATATGGAGCTCAGTTTGTGTCTTTTATTTATTTATTTTGGTTAAAGGAAACAGATGCTCATATTTTTGACAGTGTAATGCACATAATCAGCCTCAGTCTGGCCCAGGCTTCCACAGACTGTGCGTGTTTTAGTCGGGACACGTCTCCCCGGCTCCGTTTGCTCTGTCCCTCTTTGTTGTTTTTACTTAGCAGGAGCCTTTTGAATTGCTGTCACGTGGTCATTCGAGTGAGGGTCATAAAGACGGCTGCATGCTCTGCCTTCGTCGGCCCAAAGCAAGATCAGCTCTTCAGTGTGACGACGCTATCGCTGCGAAACACTTAAGCTATAAGTGATGAGGTTGTGAAAAACCATGCCTGGTAATTTCATTGGGCCTCCCTGCTTTGACATGAGATTTGTTGACAGGTTTACGGGATAGCTGTGACTTGGATGATCCTTGGGATATTTTGAGGCTTTACGTGTGGCTGCCAATAAAAGCCTCTAAAAACTGAGTACCATTAGCTCGCGGACAGCTGGAGAAGGTTATGCCGTATGTTTTATAGTAGCTTATTACGACTTTTTCACCAGTTTTGTGCTGTCAAGTTTGCAAATTCACAGCTATAACTTGCGTTTAATGTAAAGAAAGACAATACATCCTCCTCCTGATCAGTGATTTGTTGCTTATTATCAGAGCCGTGGTGATTTTCTCTGAGTTGGTAACAAAAAAGTGCTGGCTTCTGTACATGCCGGCGGGGATATTTGGCTGTGAGCGCCGGGCTACACAGTGAGAGCATCAAGCGGCAGATTGTGCTGACGCAGACTGTGCTCTGACGTGAAGGGCTGAAATGGATAAGTTACAGGTCTGTTGGCGTGACAGCGTGAACTGTAAGCCCTGCTCCTTCCCGAGATTAGATTCTTCTGATATATGATGACTTCTGAATGTGAAGGTCAGTAGAGATGCTAATTGAATCATTTGTGGCTTGCTGCTTTCCTTAGACAATAGACTCTTATTGTGTTGTTTGTGGGTGGTCCAGTAGAAACTGGCCAAGATTTTACACCCTGCTACGAGGGAGGCACTTCATAAAGAGGTCAAAAGAAAAAAAAGATGCAGACTTTTTCAATTTTTTTTCGAAAGTGACAAAGAATTTGCATGGTCCCCAGGCATTAAAAGTGTACCCACTGTCTTTGTCCAAATGTTACATTTAAAAAAACAAGAATGAATTCAGTCTAAGTGCCTGTAGATCCAGAAACATCCCTTCCATATTCCTGTAGTACTGTGGCAGCTCACTGAGAGGAGATCAGTGGCTCAGCAGCCCCGTTCCCACTTCCTAAGCCAGCAGCCATTGATCTGTGTCGCAGCTGTTGAACCTGCTGATAAATCAGAGAACACTGAACTCCATCTGTCCGTTTTGCTGCCGTGGTCCTGCTCAATCTGAAACAATAACCCACACATCACAGTAACAGGCACTCTCCCCAGTGGGGGAACTTGTCTGCTACACA